TGTTCCACGGAATATATTCCCTGTGAGTAGAAGAAAGGACTGTACAGCACATTATTGACGGTAGTCACCGTGCCCCACAAGACATCTCTTGAATTTCTCCCCACCTAACTGAAATTTTGTATCCTTTGACCAACATCTCTTCAACTCACCATCCAACTCCAGCCCTGGTAATCACCATTCTACTCTCTACCTCTTTGAGATCAACTTTTTCAGATTCCACATGCGTGACATGGTGAGGTGTTTGTCTTTTGTGCCTGGCTTATCTCATTTAGTGCAGTATCCTCCATGTTTATCCATGCTGTCACAAATGACAGAATTTCCTTCTTTGTTAAGGCAGAATAGTATTCCATGGTGTCTGTGTATCACATTTTCTTTACCTTTTATTCCATTGATGGACTCTTAGGTTGATTCCTTGTCTTGACCATTGTAAATAATGCTCCAGTGCACATGAGAGGGAAGATATCTCTTCAACATACTGATGTCATTTCCTTTGGATGTACACCCAGTAGTGGGATTGTTAGATCATATGGTTGTTTTCTTTTTTGTTTTTTAAGGAACCTCCATCCTGTTTTCCATGATGGCTGTACTAATTTCCATTCCCACTGACAGTGTACCAGCGTTCCTTTTCCTCCCCATCATCATCAACACTTGTTATCTTTTGTCTTTTTGATAGTAGCCATTCTTACAGGTGTGAAGTGATATTTCTGGTTTTGATTTGCATTTCCCTGATTAGTGATGTTAAGCACTTTTTAATGTATCCATTGGCCACTTTGATATCTCCTTTTGAGAAATGTCTCTTCAGGCCCCTTGCCTGTGTGTCCATTTTAATTGGATTGTTTGATTGCCTGCTGTTGAGATGTTTGAGTTCCTGTGTTTTTTGGATATTAACCAAAATCTTGGATCTTTTGGATATTGATCTCTCATCCTGTAGTTGTTTCTTCCCTGTCATCATTGTTTCCTTTGTTGTGCAGAACCTTTTTAGTCTGTTGTAACCTCACCTATTTTTGCTTTTGTTGCCTGTGCTTTTGGGGTCATAGCCAAGAAATCATTGCCCAGACCAACGTCATGAAGATTTTTCCCTATGTTTTCTTCTAGTAGTTTTACAATTTCAGGGCTTATGTTTAATCTTTATTTTGAGTTGATTTTTACATATGACGTGAGGTAAGGGTCTATTTCACTCTTCTGCATGTCAATATCTACTTTTCTCTATATCATATATTGAAGAGACTGTCTTTTTTCCATTTGTGTTCTTGGTATCTTTGTCACAATCAGTCTACTGTAAATGCATTGATATATATCTGTGTTTATTATTTATTTCCATCAGTTTATTTATCTTTGTTTATACTATGACCATTCAGTTTTCATTACTGTACCTTTGTAATATATTTTAAAATCAGGTAGTATGATGCCTCTGTCTTTGTTCTTTTGTTTGTTTTGCTTAAGAGTACTTTGGCTATTTGAGGCCTTTTATGGTTCCATACAAATTTTAGAATTGTTTTCTCTATTTTGGTGAAAAATGTCATTGGAATTTTAATAGGCATTGCATTGACTCTATAGATCAACATTATTTAATCATAGTATGGACGATTAAACAATGTTGAGTTTTCTAATGCGTGAACATGTACTGTCTTTCCGTTTATTTGTGTCGCTTTCCATTTCTTTCATCAACGTTTCACAATTTTGAGATCTTCCTTGGCTCTGTCATAAATTTATTTAGAACAGTTGCTGCACTGACATCCATTTTTAGGCCTGATGTAAGTTGTTTAAAACCCAATCATACCACAGCCTCTTTTGTCCAATTAATAATTCCTTTCCATGTTCAATTGCTTTTGGTAAAGCACATTTGTTCTTCATCTCCATTACCCAAAACCCAACACATCCCACAGCATCTGACTATGGTAAAACTTAATGGTTCACAACAGAGCAGTGTGAACCTTTTTTTCAGGTGTTGTCTTCCACAATCTCTGTGGGAAAGGCTGTGGTATAATGCCCATGACCTTTTTAAAGGCATAGTCCCACGGATCCTCTCTCTCTATCTTTGCTTCCCACACATTGGTTAGTGTGGTTAGACTGAATGGCTCCCCACTTCCTGTAAGTGCTGCAAAGTGTGCTGTCCTCTTCTCTCTGGAATCTCTAATACCCAACTGCTGTGTTTCCTGTGTTTTGTTGTGTTGTTTTCTCTCTGTTTTCCCTAACTAACACACCTAAACCTAACGTCTTTCCCAATCTTGGCTCTCTTAAAGAGTGACTATCTCCTAAAGAATAGGTATAACTTTAAACAACATAGGTCAGAAAAGAACCACAGAGTCATCTGCCAGAAAAAGTAATTTTCTGGTGGAAGGGACGCCTATAAGATGAATACCTAATTAGGCATTAGACAGTCCATCGGGGTAAAGAAGTTTCTTGTGAACATCCGTGATGAAATCCCCTGGATCCCCATCAGGGCAAACCTACAGTTTAGAGTCATTGTACACAGAGAAACCTCAAGACCAAATCAGAAAGAAACCCAGCTACCAACCTTGCTTGAATTTATTTCTAAGAATTTTTTTGTGGCTATTACAAATGGGGTTTTTCAGATAGTTACTTGTTAGTGTATAAAAACACTACTGAATTTGTATGTTGATTTCATGTTTAACTTTATTTTGTACTGATAACAACTTAACGTTTGATAACATTAAAAAAACTTGACACTTTTCCATCCCTGCCTTATTTTATGTTTTTGACATCATTATTTACATCTTTTTGTGTTTCATATTTGATAACAAATTGTTTTTACTATCATTTAAAAATATTTTTGTCTCTTAACCTTTGTGCTAATAAGTAATTTATACATAATTTTGATTGTATTAGAATATTTTGAACTTGACCATGTACTTACTTTAACCACACTTTTATATTTTCATATGGTTTCATGTATCTAGTTAGTGTTCTGTTCTTTCAGATTGTAAGGCCAGAAATGCTAATGAGATCCCACAGGTTTTCTTTGTCTAATAAAGTCTTCACTGCTCTTTCGTTTCTTTTTTCTTTTTTTTTTTTTTTTGAGACAAAATCTCTGTCACCCAGGCTGGAGTGCAGTGGTACGATCTCAGCTCACTGCAGCCTTCGCCTCCCAGGCTCAAGTGATTCTCCTGCCTCAGCCTCCTGAGTAGCTAGGATCACAGGCATGCAACACCATGCCCAGGTAATTTTTGTATGTTTAGTAGAGATAGGGATTCACCATGTTGGTCAGGCTGGTCTCAAACCCCTGACCTCGTGATCCTCCCACCTTGGCCTCCCAAAGTGCTATGAATACAGGCGTGAGCTGCTGCACCAAGCCACCTCTTTCACTTCTAAAGTACAGACTTGCCAGGTATGGTATTCTTGGTTGACAAGGGTTTATTTCCTTTTCTATACTTTGTATGGTTCCACTCTCTCCTGGCCTGCAGGTTTTCCACTGAGAAGCCTTCAGTAGCTTTATAGGGGTTCCTTTGTACATTCTTTTTCTCTTGCTGCTTTGAGAATTCTCTTTGTCTTGGATTTTTGTGAATTTGTTTATGATTTGTCTTGGTGAAGATCTCTTCATATTTAATCTGTTTGTGGTTTTATGGGCTTCATGACTATGGATGTCCATTTCTATCCAGATTTGGGACATTATCTTTTATTATTTCTCCCAGAATTACACGTTCTGTTCCTTTGACATTCACTGATGCTTCTTGGCCCACCATAATGCATATATTGTTTTGCTCCATGGTAACCATCGGTACTGTTGGCTTTCTTCCTTCTTTTTCTTCCTGCGACTTGGTATTTTCAAATGATTTGTTTTGAAGCTCACTGATTCTTTCTTCTGCTTAGTCAACTCTGCTGTTGATATTCTCTGTGAAGTTTTTTAGTTCAGATATTCTGTTGTTGAATTTTAGATTTTCTGCTTGGTTCTTTAGCATGGTGTCTGTATGTATATGAAACTTCATATATATGTATAGTTGTCTATCTGTATTCTCTAGTAGCTGACTGAGCTTCTTTAAGATGAGTGTTTTTCAATTCTTTGTCAGGCTTTTGTAAAACTTTGTTAGTTTAGGGTAGTTACCTGTGCTTTATTTTGTTTCTTTGGTGCTGTCATGGTTCCCTGATTGCTCAGCAGCCTGTGGCAATGTATTGGAATGTGTGCTTTGAATCAGCAGGGACTTTTCAGGGGACCTAGGAAATGTGATTTCCTTTTGAAATCAGAAGAAAACACTTGAATCCGGGCTGGTTTGTATTTGTCCATTTTCCAAGTTGGTTTAAAAAAAATGTAATTTTTAACATTTTTTATGCAGACTGGGACCCATAAAGACAAAAGTGTCCCCAGCCCACAAAAGTCATGGGTGGAGCTCCCTTAAGTTCCCATGAAGAGCTGAACCCACGAGCGGCCTCACTCCGGTGTCTGATTTCTCAATAAGTACTTTTTCCTACCTAGGTTTTAAGGGCGAAGAGTAATTTGCTCTTCTCTGGCCCTCTGGTGTTTGCTGCGACTGGGAGGAAGTAGCAGACAGGGAGGGGCGAGGGCTCACTTGTATTGTGGGTTAACTGGAGGATGGGGCTCAGCTTTTGGCCACATGGGCTTGTGATTTTCCCCTGGAGTGCGGCTCCTCCTAACGCAGGCCTCCCCTGCAGCCCAGGGAAGCTCAGTGTGTGCCCAGCACAGAAGCCTCCTGGAGCTGCAGCTCTGACCCCAGAGCAGGGAGGCCGAGGGGCTGAAGTGCGCATGCTCAGACCCTTCCCCACCCTCAACCAGGGAGCATGGGGTGGGGGCCTGCAGACACAAGGAGCCTGTCTTTCTCTTGACGCCTTCTCAGGGACGTTGGGAAGGGAGGGTAGCTCCTCTGGCATCCCACCTGGCCAGCTTTCCTTCATGAGTCCCCCCTCTACCTCCCTGTGTGTACCCAGGTGCCCCAGAGGGCTGGTCAAGGTCAGTGATTGTACGCCCTAGAGTGACATCAAGTGTGTTGATGAATCAGCTGCCAGTTCCACTGGGAAACCCCTACCTGCAGAGGGGACAGTGACCTCCAGCCCGGGGACTCCTGCCTCTCCCCTTTCCACCACAGCCATCATAGTGGTCTTACTTCTAGCGTTCATTCTGGTTGTGGCTGGGTTTGTTTGGAAGACTTCACTGTGGAGGAAAGTCCTTTCTTGCTTGAAAGGCATCTGCTCAGGTAGGTGCTGGCTGAGGGCGAAGCACTGGGCACTCTCTGCCCCGCCCTCTCCCATCCTGTTCCCACAGACAGAAATGTCTGTCCCTGCCCCTAGTCTAAGTGTTCCTGACCTGGCTCTTTCTTCTTCCTTGTGATCACCCCATCCCCACATCCTGTGCACCCTCCAGGACCCTGGTCTCATCAGTTCCTCTCCAGGGGTGAGGAGTCCCTCATCTTAAAGCCAAGATCAGGAGGGCAGGGCCAGTTCCTGCCATCTTCAGGTCCAACCTGGCAGGTGGCAGTCAGCTCCTCAATTGGGTGACAAGGGTCAGGATGAGAAGTGATCACGGGAATTATTCAGCCTTGGTCAGAGCAGAACACAGTGCAGAAAACTGAGATTTTCCACGTGTTTGTTTTTACTCTCGTTGTCCTTCTCATCCCCCTTCTCAGGTGTCCCTGAATTGCAAGGTCTCATTCCTGTCCCTAGGCCCGGGGCTTGTTGTCCAGTGTCCCATCCCCCAGCCTGCCCCTGCCCCTGACTGCCCTCTGGGAGGGAGGTGCTGAATGGGCCCCTCCCCGCCTGCTAAGGAGACTCCTTCTCTTCCAGGTGCTGGAGGGGAGCCTGATCATGTGGACAGAGTGAGTTGGTTTCTCCAAAACTGGGGGCATCATGGGTTCACGAAGTGCTTCTCATCTACTGTGGAATCTGGGTGGGCAGGATCCCTTGTCCTCACAGTGGCCCTGAGTCTCTGACATGGCCTGGGGGCTCCGGGCTGACTGTAGGGGACACATGGTCATTTTGAGCGCCATACAGACCGGCCAGCTATGCTGCAGCCCTGTCCCTCCTGCAGCCTGGGTGCCACCGTCATACACAGCCTGCACCCTGGGGATGGGGTGACCCACCTGCCCTGGACCTCATTGGAAGGGGTTGGGGATGGCAGGTCCACCTGTGTGCTGGGGACCCTGAAGCTGAGCCCTGGGTGTGGACTTGAGTGGGTGGTTTGCCTTCCAAAGGTCTTTTCCGGCATTCATGTCCCTCATGAGGTCCTGAGGCTGAGGGCAATGTCTGCAACGAGGACCTGAGCAACAGAGAATCGCAGCACACCCAGGTCCCTGAGCAGGAAATCGAAGGTCGGGAGCTGAGAGGGTCAACAGGTGTGACTGTACAGTCGCCAGAGGAGCCACAGCGTCTGCTGGTGAGCTGAGGATGGACTGTGCCATGCCTGGCCTGCTGCCTGCACAGGGCTTCATAGACAGGGGCAGAGAGCAGTGCCTCTGCTCTCCTGGCCTAGGGGGACATGGAACTTTTGGGAGACAGGAGACTGCAGGGGATTGAGCAGCTGCAGTGAGGTGGCGACTGCACCAGTCTGCAGGACATCTGCCTCTTACTCCCTGCCCTGTCCTTGCTGTGTCCCCAGAACCTGGAGCTCCACAGGCACAGAGTGGGGGTCACAGGGTTCGTTGATGACTGAATGAGGGCTGCATGGTCTCCACTGTGTGCTCCTAACAACTCAGGGAGCCTCTGCTTGAAACAGCAGAAGCTTTAAATTTACTCCAAAATAATTATTACATTGAACATATTTCATAGTAAATCTTCGTCCAGATTTCTGATCAAGTATGGAAGGAGGTTTCCGGGAAGAAGTAGGATTTCTGAGTCAGTGCATAGAAGTGCTTTTGTATCACACAAACACCCATATCCAGATGTTCACAGCAGTTCATCAGTTCTCTTACGATATTGAGTAGGTGTGAAATCTGGACACATATTATTTTTTTCAAGTGTCAAAATTCTTTCCTTCAAGATAAAACAAGATGATCCTATCTAATTTCTTATGGACTTTTAGAAAATGATTTGGTTTGTACCATACATCAATGGAACCTAGGTGTCATTTCTTTTGTGATGCTGTGTGAAGTGAGGAACTCCCTGAATTGTTCTGAGTCACTGTCTCCTTCCTCCAAGCCTGTTTAAGAACTGGTTCCCCTAACTTTCTCTGCTTTTGGCTCCTCTATGATTGCTTGTCAAATGGGTGGGCAAGGATCACTTACCTCCCATTTTCTTCCTTTCCTACGGCTATACCACATGGTGGTGGTGGCGTTTTTTTTTTAAATGAAGAGAAGTATACAAAGGAAAGGAAACAAACAAGAAAAAGTCAACAATTACTCCATGCTGCTGAATCACATTGGACACATGTTTTGTAATTTGCAGAGATCTGATCTTGCTGTGCTGCCCAGGTTGGTCTCAAACTCCTGGCCTCAAGTGATCTTCTCACCTTGGCCTCCCAAAGTGGTGGAATTACAGGCATGAGCCACTGCACCCGGCCACATTACACGTTTTTTGAAAGTGGTAAATGCATAGCCACACATCTACCATACTACAGAAAGGTGCTTAGTCATAGTGGGCATAGTACCCAACAGTTTTCATCCCCTCCTCCTCTCCCTCCCTCCTCTGGCTAGTGGTCCCCAGTGTCTATTGTTACCATCTTTACGTTCACGAGTCCCCGATGTTGCATATAGCTCCTGAATATCAGATCTTTGTCAGATGCATAGTTTGCAAATATTTTCTCCCATTTTGTAGGTCCTCTGGTTATTCTGTTGATTCTTTCGTTTTTTTTTTTTTTTTTTTTTGACACTGAGTCTCACTCTGTCACCCAACTAGAGTGCAGTGGCATGATCTCAGCTTACTTCATGATCTTGGCTCACTGCAACCTCCACCTCCTGGGTTCAAGTGATTCTCCTGCCTCAGCCTCCCTCGTAGTTGGGATCGCAGGTACCATGCCTGGCTAATTTTTGTATTTTTAATCGAGATGGGGTTTTTTCATGTTGGCCGTGCTGCAAACTCCTCACCTCAGGAGATCCACCTACTTTGGCCTCCCAAAGTGCTGGGATTACAGGTGTGAGCCACTGCACCCCACCTGTTGATAGTTTATTTTTGTTGATAGTTTCTTTTGCTGTGCAGAAGGTCTTTAGTTTAATTAAATCCCACTTGACAATTTTTGGTTTTGGTGCATTGCTTTTGAGGGCTTAATCATAAAATCTTTGCCGTGGCTGATGTCCAAAAAGGGTGTTTTCTAGGTTTTCTTCCAGGGTTGTTATAGTTCGTGGTCTTACTTTTAAGCCTTTAATCCACCTTCAGTTAATTTGTGTATATGGTGAAAAGGAGGAGTCTAGTTTTCATTCTTCTGCATGTGGCTAGCCAAATATCCCAGCATTATCTCTTGAATAGGGAGTTGTATTAGTCCTTTTACATACTGCCAAGGAGAAATACCTGAGACTGGGTAATTTATAAGGAAAAAGATTTAATGGACTCATAGTTCCACATGGCTGAGGAGGCCTCACAATCATAGTATAAGGTGGAGGATGAGGAAAGGCACATCTTACATGGCAGCAGGCAAGAGAGTGTGTGCAGGGGAACTGTTCTTAATAACACCATAAGATCTTGTGAGTCTTATTCACTAAAGAAGAATAGGATAAACTCATCCACATAATTCAATTACTTCCCACCGGGCACCTCCCATGACAGGTGGGGATTATGGGAGGTACAATTCAGGATGAGATTTGGGTGGGAATGCAGCCAAACCATATCAGGAGTCCTTTCAGCATTGCTTATTTTTGTCCACATTATCCAAGATTAGATGGCTGTAGTTGTGCAGCTTTAGTTCTGGGTTCTCTATTCTGTCGCATTACTTATGTGTCTGCTTTGGTACCAGTATCATGTTGTTTGGGCTATGATAGCCTTAAGAGTATAGCTTGAAATTAGGTAACGTGATGCCTCTAGCTTTTTTCATTTTGCTTAGGATTGTTCTGGCTATTCAGGCTCTTGGTTGACTCCATATGAATGTAAGAATACCTTTATCCAATTCTGTGGAGAATGACATGGGTAGTTTTATAAGAATAGCATGATATCTGTAGATTGATTTGGTCAGTATGACCATTTTAACTCTATTAACTCTTCCAATCCATGAGCATGGAATGTTTTTCCTTTTGTTCATGTTATCTATGATTTCTTTTAGCAGTATTTTGTAATTGTCGTTCTAGAGATCTTTTACATCCTTGGGTAGAGGTAATCCTAGGTAGTGTGTGTGTGTGTGTGTGTGTGTGTGTGTGTGTGTGTGTGTGTGTATGTGTATGTGTCTGTGTGTGGTAAATAGGATTGTGTTCTTTATTTGGTCCTCAGCCTGAACGTTATTGGTATATAGATATGCTACTGATTTTTATACATTGATTTTGTATCATGAAATTTTGCTGAAGTCATTTATCAGTTTCAGGAGCCTTTTGGTGGACTCTTTAGGGTTTTTAAGGTATAGACTCATGTTATCTGTGAAGAGAGATAGTTTGACTTCTTCATACCTGGATGCCTTTTATTTCTTTCTCTTGCCTGAGTGCTCTGGTTAGGACTACCAGTTCTATGTTGAATATGAGTGGTGAGAGTCAGCATCCCTGCCTTGTTCCAGTTGTCAAGGGGAATGCTTCCAACTTTTGCCCATTCAGTATGATGTTGGCTGTGGGTTTGTCATAGATGGCTCTTAGGATTTTTAGGCATGTTCTAGTCAGAACCTTCTAGTGTTTTTTAATATCCAAAAGAGCAAACACCTTTTCCATACTTTTTCAAAATCTATTATTTTACCCGGATAAAATTTAGAATTATAAGATTTCATCCATCCTCTGCTCTCAAAAATACTCAGTGGCATTTTTATCAATTCACTTTAAAATTAAAAATTAATCTAGAAATACTTCATATCCTATAAATAGTCAGTATTTTCTTATTGAAGAAGATAGCATTTGAAGTCAAGCATTTTATTGTAACTGAGTTGTGATTAGCGTTTCTCTTTGAAGAAGCTATTCCTGTTTCTTCTCATGGCTGTTGAGTATTTTGTGCAGGACAACCTGGGACACACTCACCCACAAACACCACCCCGTGCACACTGCTGCGTCGTCAGGAGAAAACTCCCAGCTCCCAGCTTCTCCCCGAGGAGCCACGTGCTTAGGCCATGCATATAACTTTTACAGCTTGCCTGGAGGGTTTAGCTTTTGTGTCACCTAGATGTGGGAGTGACGGACACCTTTCCCGCTCACTCTTCACACCGCAACCTGGGCCGGGCGCCCACCAGAAGGACACCAGGCTGTGGCCCTGCAGTGCCATCGCTGTCCTCACTTGAAGTCTGTCACTTTAAATTCCAGGGAGTCAGAGGCAGGAAACAGCCCCTCAGCCTCTTCAGCAAGACTGAAGGAAGAGAAGGCTGGAAGGTGTGAGTCACAGGAAGAACACAGCTTGTGATTCAAGACCTGGGGGGTGGGGGGGGGAAGAAAAACAATATAGACAAAAACAAACAAAACTTCCTACTTCCTTTTAGGAAAGTTTCCATTACTAATTTGGCCATTAATTCACACACACCTAAGGCCTTTACCCCTAATTGCCCTCCTTTTATGTTTAATGTTACCAACACACTCTTCAAAGATAGGATCATCTACTGCTTTCTCTAGCGGGAGAGAAGACAAGCAAGGGAAGGTCTGCTGCTGGGAGGCGGCTCCTCCATGCACACCGCACAGGCTGCTGGCCTGTTCGTTCCTCCTGTCTTCAAACGAGCGGATTCTTTCTTCTGCCTGATCAAACCTGCTGTGGAATTTCTCTACTGGATTTTTCACTTGAGCTATTATGGTTTTTCAGTCCCAGGATTTCTATTGGGAACCTTCTAGTAATTCCTCTATCTTTATGAATATTCTCTGTACCTTCAGAGAATCGATACAGGTATGTATCGATGTGTTAGATGCATGGATGTTTCCCCAGAGGAAAGGTGTAGGTGCTGCTCTGGGTTCCCCGGAACATTTCCCTCCACCCCTGCCCATGGGCACCTCAGCCTCACCCTGGAAGCCATGGGCTGCAAGCTTCTGTTTTAATCCTCTGCAATCCTCTACAGTAAACACACACACACACACACACACACACACACAGTGCCCTTAGATATTTGAGCATGTTTAAAACTGCTGATTCAGGCAAGGTGTTAGCTCACGCCCGTAAATCTATCACTTTGGGAGGTGGAGTTGGGCAGATCACTTGAGGTCAGGAGTTTGAGACCAGCCTGGCCAACATGGTGAAACTCAGTCTCTACTAAAAATATAAAAATTAGCCAGGCATTGTGGTGCACGCTTGTAATCCTAGCAGCTCAGGAGGCTGAGGCACTAGAATTGCTTGAGCCCTGGAGGAGTTGTAGGTTGCAGTGAGCCGAGATGGTGCCACTTCATTTTAGGCTGAACCACAGAGTGAGACTCTGACAGAAAAACAAAAGCCCCAGCACAATGGTTGATTGAAAACATTTGCCAAATAAGCCCAATGTCTGAGCTTCCCCAGGTATCTGTCCATTTTTTTTTCTGTACATGGACCATATTTACTTTATATGATTTAGTGGTTTGAATTTTTCACCCTAAAGCTTATTTTGAATCCCTACACTCTGGTATTTGTGAATGTGATGGGTTTTTTTCTTTCTTTCTTTCTTTTAAGACGCTGTCTCACTGTGTTGCCCAGGCTGGAGTGCAATGGTGGGATCTGGGTTCGCTGCAAACCTCCGCCTCCCGGATTCAAGCGATTCTCCTGCCTCAGCCTCCTGAGTAGCTGGGATTACAGGTATGTGCCACCCTGTCTGGCTAGTTTTTGTATTTTTACTAGAGATGGGGTTTTATCATGTTAGGCAGGCTGGTCTCAAACTCCTGTACTCGTGATTTACCTGCCTTGGCCTCCCAAAGTGCTGGGATTACAGGCGTGCACCACCACGCCCAGCGAAGAAAACAAAATTTAAAGATTATATTTAATTTGTTTTGAGGACTTCATGAAACATTTAACGAAATTAACACCAGAACCCACGTTGACAGCTACTGACCCCTGGAAACCAGTAGAGGATGTGTTAGGAAAAAGCGTTCTGCTGGGACCCATCTGATGTTGGTCTAATTACCTGAGCAACACTGGTCCCATAAGAAACACGAGGTACCAGCCCTACTGCTGAGAACTCTGAGTGCTTTAGGCTCACACAAAAAGGCAACGTTCTAGCCTAGAAAATATTAAGAAATTGCACTGATCAATATTTATTATTTATTTATTGAGACGGAGTTTTTCTCTGGCCCAGGATGGAGTGCAGTGGTGTGATCTTGGCTCACTGCAACCTCCGCCTCCCAGGTTCTAGCTATTCTTCTGCCTCAGCCTCCCAAGTAGCTGAGATTACAGGCATGTGCCACCATGCCCAGCTAATTTTTTCTATTTTTATTAGAGATGGGATTTCACTGTGTTAGCCAGGATGGTCTGGATCTCCTGACCTCATGATTTGCCCGCCTTGGCCTCCAACGTCTTGGGATTACAAGCCTGAGCCACTGGGCTCAGCCTACACTGATCAATATGTTAACAATTCAATATACTTCTGTGAACAGCTGTGTGGGTTTTTCCCACTCTGACCAATTCTCCCACCTCACATGAGTATCCCATAAATCAATTCGCTTCTGACGTTAGTCATAGGTGGTGCTGACCCCACAGGTTAAAGAGTCCGTTCCACAAGACGCCCCCTCTTCAGGGGCAATCACAAGTAGGTGGTCTGACATGGTTTTTGGCTCTGTGTCCACACCCAAATCTCATCTAGACTTGTAATCCCCACATGAAAAGGGAGGGATCTGGGGGGCGGTGACTGGATCATTGGGGTGGTTTCCTCAGGCTGTTCTCCTTACAGTGGGTAAGTTCTCCTGACATCTGATGGTTTTAAAGGGTTTGTCGGTTCCTCCTTCACTCTCTTCTCTCCCTCCTGCCACCCTGTGAAGAAGGTGCCTGCTTCCCCATCGCCTTCCGCCATGACTATAAGTTTCCTGAGGCCTCCCCAGCCATGTGGAACTGTGAGTCAATTAAACCTATTTCCTTTATAAATTACCCAGGCTCAGGTCATTCTTTATAGCAGTGTGACAAAGAACTAATACAGTGTCCCATGCTTCCTGGAGGGGACACATATCCAAACCATGTCAGGCAATATAGCTGCATACACTTTTAGCTTCTATTTTGCCAGGTGTGGCAAAGCACAACCCACACCCATCAGGTCCATAAGAAAATTGACAGAAAAGTCTCAACACATTGTCCCAGTTTCTGGCTTAGGAGTCACCACTGCTTCTAGCACTTACAGTTGTAGCCCTGGTCCTGTGGCCACTGCACCAGGTGTCAAGTGGGAGGAGGGGAGAGTTGATGTAAGGTGGGGAAGAAAGACAAAAATTACAATCATTGGCCTGGTATGGTGGCTCACGCCTATAATCCCAGCATTTAGGGGAGGCCAAGGTGGGTAGATCACCTGGGGTCAGGAGTTTGAGACCAGCCTGACCAACATTGTGAAACTCTGTCTCTGTTAAAAATACAAAAATTAGGTGGGTGTGGTGGTGGGGGCCTGTAGTCCCAGCCTCTTGGGAGGCTGAGGCAGGGGAATCACTTCAACCCAGGAGGCAGAGATTGCAGTGAGCTGAGATTGTGCCATTGCACTCCAGCCTGGGCGACAGAGCAAGACTGTGTGGCAAAAAAATCCAACACCACCACCACCACCACCAAAATGACAGTCATTATAATGGCATCCTCCCCACCCCCTCATCCCCAGATCCACTGGAAAAATGAAGGAGAGTCCAGCAGGGACACTCCTTTAGCTCCGCTTGTGTGGAGTGGGGCACACACCGGTGAAGGAGTGGAAGACAGCCCTTCATGCCTTTGTCTCCCCCCATTTTAGACAATCCATGTTTCGATTGACTGTTCTGCTTCCTTATCGAATTATTACTCTAAGGAGGATACCTCTCAGCCCATTGCTAAACATTCTGTGCTCACTGTACAGCGTGCTTCTTGGTCCACAGACGCGTGGCTTGGTGGTCCAAACTAGAATAATAGCTTGTTTCAGTTCTTTTCTATCAATAGCAGTCTGGGGCATTTGCAGCCTCCACCGGGTAACCAAAAGACAATCCGTCAGGTTCTCTTCCTTTAGAGACTCCTCTGTAGGCCCCAATGGAATTGCCCCAGTCTCACCTTCCAAGTATGTGCAGGGCATCCCCATCAGGGATTCTGCCTCATAGTCATAGGCAGCCTGTGTCTCTCCCGCTCACAGACAGAACAGCTCTTATTGATGTTATGTTCCTGAGAGGGAGCAAGAGGAACATGTTTAGATTCAGCCCATCTCTGCATCGCTGTTGTTCCCCATGCCCGCTTATTTTACTTCGTGGTCTCTAGTGACCACCTCAAGGGAGTACACGGGGGTATGTCTTGCTGACTACAGTCACTTTCCACACCTGAGGCTGGTTCTACTGGCATGGGCATATCCTACTTTAATGCAGTCCTCAAGTCCCCCTAGAGATTTCCACAAGGTCGGGCCCCATATGGACATCCCTTCAATAGGTCAGTTTTCCATTGCTCTTGGAAACAATGGAAAATATAGAGACAAATATCCAAATTTAATACACTTTATTTGGAAGGCAAGGTTGAAATTCTTGGCATACAAAAACACCAAGTTGTCTTTGGTGTGACCAAAGACAGAAGAGACGTTTAAAGGTTTTTAGCCATAGTCAGCACTCCATATAGGGCACAGAGACTGTGTCGTTACCTGCCCTCCAGTTTCTAGTCTACACTGTGTGCTCCACCCTCCAGGGCCAAGGGGCCTGAGCTGCTCTGAAGACCTTCCTGCAGACCCTGGTGACTCTGGTTAATGCTGTCAGTCTTCCTGAAGCCCTTGTCCTCTCACCCCCTGCCTGGATCTGCACCAGCACACATTCCTTACCACACACATTCCTCAGTGCCTGCGACCTGGCACACATTTCTGGTCCTAACTCAGTGTCTTTGGCCTGGCAGGTGCCCAGGGTGCTCCACCGCTCAAATACAAGCCTGCAGAGTGGATGACATTCATTCCCAGGTTTCTGGTGAGCCAAAAAACCTTCTTTGTTTCTATAGTGCGATCCTCTTCTATCTACCATGTGCGGGATCAGGACTAGACTCACCCCAAGGGTCTAGGAGTCGTGCCATTGACCTCACTGCCTAGGGTCACAAGATGGCACCCTTCACTACCACACCTTGGGTCTGTCCTCACAGCTGCAGTGTGGTTAACTGGATGGGGAGGTCAGTAGCCCAAGGTTAGACAGTTGGACCTGGGTAGACACTAGACTTGGGAGCAGGCTGTGGAAGCCACTCCTCTGGTTCCCCTGCCCCCATACTAGAGCCCTCAAGGTCGATCTGGGAGTGTCTGTGCCTTGACCACGCAATGGGTGCCAGGCTGTGGCTAGGGATGCCCCGGGGTTCCTCTCCCTCCTACCTACTCCTCAGCCTCTGCAGGTGCCTGTCATGACCTGTATGTCCTTCATTCTGCCCACTCATTGGTTCACTGGGCCCCTCCTTGGTGCCAGGCACCTGCTACTAAGGGGTGCCAAGCCCCTGCCAGAGAAACTTGGAGCTGGGTGGGAGCAGCAAGGGGGCTGGAGGCAGCGGCAGGAGTGCAGTGGTCAGTGAGGCAGCTGTGGGAGGAGGGAGTGGAATCAGAAGCTGAGTGGACTGAAGGGCTTGGGCCGGGAAGTAGTTCGAGGTTTAAGAGGGGAGACAGCCGTCTCGGGAAGGGAGCAGGCTCCTCAGCTCGTTCCGCTTTTGCTGTTCGCAGCCTGGGCACGACCCGGAATCAAACCACAGTCCCCAGGTCACCGCTGCCGGCCATAACTAGTTCCAGGCTGAGCCGTCGGTTCACGCCCCGACCTCCCGGGGACCACGCCTCCACCTCCCGGGGACCACGCCTCGCGGGGACCAAGCCTCCCGGGGACCACGCCCCCTAGGGGGGACCACGCCACTGAGGCCACGCCCCCGGAACACGCCCCTCCCACCCGAATATACCCCTCCGCCCATCCCAGCAGACCGGCAGACGAGCTTGGGTTCACGTAGAGCAAGAGTGGGAAGTTATCAGCGCGCACGCACTACGGGGAGGATTTTCGGCCGATTTCTGATTGATTTTGGGGCTTTTGACCCAAAGTTCAGGTGGTTAAGAACCTCCTCCCTTCACCTTCTCGTGGAACTTCGGGGACAGAGTGTCCCGGCCGTCTCGACAGCCTGAGCAGGGCGCGACCCAGGCAGGAGCCAGGACCCAGAACGGTGGCGGGAAGCGGGTCATGGCTACGGGCCCCAAGACCCTCCCGTTCGTCATCTTCCTCTTCGCGGTCCAGCTCCTGGTGAGTCACCGCCGCGGTCGATGGCCTGGGAAGAGCGCGCCTTGCGCGGGCCGGGAGGGGCCGAGGGGAGAGGGGGAGGGGGACGCGGCGGGGATGCCTGGCCTGGGTCGCCTGCGGCTGGCGATTCCTGGCGGGACGAACCCGTCGTCGGAGTTCGAGAAGAACTGGGTCCCCGGGCTGGGCTGGAGCGACACCGCCTCGAGGGAGCAGAGCGCGTGCTCCTCCTGGCTGTCCAGTGTAGCGAGGACCAGGCTGAGCTGCCCGGTAGTAAGTTCCAGAATCAATGGAGGGGTGGAGTCAAGATGGAAACTTCTGAGTGAAACCTCAGGAAGCTACAGAGCGGTAGCTGGGATTACATGCGCCTGCCACCATGCCCGGCTAATTTTTGTATATTTAGTAGAGACGGGGTTTTGCCATGTTTTTAATACAGCTTAAAAACACATGATGCAAAAGTAGATTGAAAAGGAGATTAAATCTCCGCTTTCTCTGCATTTGATAGAACTATCAGATGAAAACGCCAGCTAAGCGGCAAGCGATTTGAACGCTGTCAACCACCTAGATTTAACTGACATTTAAAGAGGAGGAGTAGAACGTCCACTAACACTCATTCCTTTCTATGCTCATGATACTTTTGCCAAGATAGACCAGGTTCTGGGCTATAAAGCATACAATATGATCACTAAACTTAATGAAACTAAACTGGAAATCAGTAACAGTATCTACAGAGAATTCTAAAATTTGGTTATTGAACAACACACTTCTAAGAAATCAGATAAGTAAAAAGGGGAGAAAAATATTTCAAAATAAATAATAAGGACAATATAACATGAAAACTGGTGGGAAGTGGCTAACAGTGCGGGGGTGAAATATCCAGCTTTCAGTGCTCTGTGAAAGAATTGGGGGTTGGGGAGATGGGAATTACTACTGAAGGATATGCAGTTCCTTTTTGGAGTGATGAAAATATACTGAGATTGATTATAGTGATGATTGCATAGCTGTGAGTATATTAAAAACTACTGGAGTATAAAATTTAAATGGGTGAATTATATGAATAATCATAATTATTAATTATGTAAACTGTCTCATTAAACCCGTCAAAAAAAGAAAAAAACGTGAAACCTATGGCCTAAAGATCTACATTAATCAATCATAAAATATAAGTGTAAATTTAAACCAAACAGGCCGGCGCAGTGGCTCCTGACTGTAATCTCAGCATTTGTGGGAGGCTGAGGTGGGCGGATCACAAGGTTAAGAGATTGAGACCATCCTGGCCAACATGGTGAAACCAAGTCTCTATTGAAAATACAAACATTAGCTGGGCGTGGTGGTACACGCCTGTAGTCCCACATACTTGGGAAGCTGAAGCAGGAGAATCACTTGAACATGGAAGGGGGAGGTTGCAGTGAGCTGAGATCATGCCACTGCACTCCAGCCTGGCGACAGAGTGAGACTGTCTCACACACACAAACACGCACACACAATTAAACCAAACAAAGTAACAAGGAGGAACATAAATCAAGAAAATAGAATGCAAATTGCAAAAACAATTGACAAAATGGACTGTGTGTGGTAGCTTACGCCTGTAATCCCAGTACTTTGGGAGACCCAGGCAGGCAGAATGCTTGAGGTCAGGAGTTAGACCAGTCTGGGCAACAAGGTGAAATCCCAGATGTACAAAATATACAGATATTGGATGGGTGTTGGGGCACATGCCTGTCTGTGGTCCCCACCACTTGGGGGACTGAGGTGGGAGGACCGCTTGACCCCAGGAGGCAGAAAAGGCAGAGTTTGTAGTGAGCAGAGATTATGCCACTGCTCTTTAACCAGATGACAGAGGGAGACCCCATCTCAAAGAAATAATAAAAGAAAAGATTTGACAAAATGAAAAGTTGGTCTTCTGAAAGGATTTTAAAAAAAAACCTTATAAACCCTTCATTGGTTTCTATAAAACCCTTCATTTTATAGAAAATAGCTGCCCTAACAGGCCAAGGGACAATGTAAGAGCAGAGAAAGGAGACGCAGACATTGCCTGAACCTAGAGGGAGCCCAGCTGGAGAAGGAAGGATTTGGGAAACATGCCTTAGCTTCACTGTCAGCAACTACTTGACCGGTCTTGATGTGGACCAACGCTACATTTTATCTTGTTTAGATCCAGGCAGTTGAACTGAGCCCAACATAAGTAGCTTTTATTGTAACCATTTTGTTTTTGCTCAGAGGCAAAATTAGATGAAATGTAATTGAATTTAAGTTTACAATTAAATTAATTTTGTACTTTACAACAATCCCAGTTTAAGAAAAGTTAAAAAAAAGAAAACAAAAGAAATTTGAATAATAGCTGTTGACATGATGAATGCAATTACTGAATTTTTAGTGTGTACTTTCTACAAACAAGGAAATTAACATCAACGCATTACCACTATCTAATATGCAGCCTCTATTTCTATTTCTCCAGTTGTCTTCTAGTCATCATTTATAACACAGAGATCATGGCCAGAATCCCGGAATTGCTGCTTCATCTTTTTATGTGATACTTTGATATTTAGTGGGAACAGCTTGTCAAAGTCCTTTGTAAAGCAGAAGTTAATGACTTAATGTTCGATGCTATATCCTGACTTTCTTTAAGGTTATATATATTATAAACTTCATTTGTGAAAATGTGTGTTTATGTGTGTGTCCATGTGTGTTTATGCGTGTGAGAGAATTCACCCATTGGTTAATTAAACACTTGATCAAACTAAATATATTAGATGCTGTTTGTGCTTGAAGGGCTCATCTCTGTGTGTTTGTGTGTTTGTGTGTGTGTGTGTGTGTGTGTGTGTGTGTGTGTGTGTGTTTATTCTTATAAAATGTTTTCTTGCCAACCACAGTGGTGAGTGCCTGTTATCCAAGTTGCTTGGGAGACTGAGGCAGGAGGATCACTTGAGGCCAGAAGTTCCAGGCTGTAGTGGACTATGATCACACCTGTGAATAGCCGCTGCGTTCCAGCCTGGGCAACATGGCAAGACTCTATCAAAAGAAAAACAGAAATAACTCTTCTTGCTCACATTTTCTGGGGTAAAGGTATTTTATGTTATAATATGAGGAAAGGATACAGAGGTGTTTTTCTTTATAGAAAATAGCTGCCCTAACAGGCCAAGGGACAGACACACATACAAAAGAATGAAGGTTCAGAGCTGGAAAAAAGGTGTAAGCTCTGATGGTTTGTGTCACTTGGGATGAAGCAAATGTGAGACGGAGCCTGGGAGGGGTGAGGTCTGGAAGCTGCTCACGCCTGTCTATGGTTTATCCCTACAGGGCCAAGGTGCCCCTGCCACCATAGCCTGGCAGGATGAAGTTCCCCAGCAGACAGTGACATCACAGCCACAAAGGCCCAGCCTCAAGGAGGAGTGTCCACCAGGTGCACTCTTATTTTTAACAATCAGTTTATTTTATTTGACAGATAAACATTGTATATATTTATGGTGTACCTCTTGATGTTTTGAACTGTGTATGCATTGTGGAATGCCCAAATCCAGCTAATTCACATACTTATGTATTTGTGGTAAGAACACTTAAAATCTGCTCTTAGCAATTTTCAGCTGTATGGATACAGAGCCCTCTTTGCCCTTTTTATCTGTGGGTTCTATAGCCCTGCTTATCTGTGGGTTCTGCATCTGTGGTTGCAACAAACCACAGATCAAAAATCTGTGGATAAAACAATAAAAATGATAATACATCAATAAAAGTAGGTAAAAGGCAATGCAGTATAGCACTTATTTACATAGCGTGTCTATTGTATTAGTATTACGGGTAATCTAGACATGATTTAAAGCATATGTGCCTGGCTTATCTGCAGTACCATCCCAATTTATATCAGGGACCTGAGTGTGTGCAGTTTGCTCCGTGGAAGATACTCCCTTTGAGTAGAAGGAAGGAATGTACGATACATTGTTTTATCAACTGTGGTCATCATGTCCCACAAGACATCTCTTGAATTTTTCCCCCTAACTGAAATTTTGTATCCTTTGACCAACATCTCTTCAACCCAGCATCCAACTCCAGCCCTGGTAATCACCATTCTAGTCTCTACCTCTGAGATCAACTTTTTCAGATTCCACCTGTGTGAGATGGTGAGGCGTTTGTCTTTGTGTGCCTGGCTTATTTCACTTAGCATAGTATCTTCCAAATTTATCCGTACTGTCACAAATGACAGAATTTCTTTCTTTGTAAGGCTGCATAGTATTCCATTGTGTCTGTGTATCACATTTTCTTTACCTTTTGACCCGCTGATAGACACTTAGGTTGATTCCCTGTCTTGACCATTGTAACTAATGCTCCAGTGCACATCAGAGGGAAGATGTCTCTTCAGCAAACTGATGTCATTTCCTTTGGGTGTATACAATGTGTTATACACTCCTTCCTTCTACTCAAAGGGAATATCTTCCGTGGAGCAACTGCACATACTCAGGTCCCTGATATAAATTGGGATGGTACTGCAGATAAGCCAGGCACATATGCTTTAAATCATGTCTAGATTACTTGTAACACCTAATACAATAGACACGCTATGTAAATAAGTGCTATACTACATTGCCTTTTATTTACTTTTATTGATGTATTATCACTTTTATTGTTTTTTCCACAGATTTTTGATCTGTGGTTTGTTGCAACCACAGATGCAGAACCCACAGATAAGCAGGGCTATAGAACCCACAGATAAAAAGGGGATGACTACATTATATAGTTGTTCTATTTTTCATTTTTTGAGGAACCTCCATCCTGTTTTCCATAATGGCTGTATTAATTTTCATTCCCACCGACAGTGTATCAGTGTTCCTTTTCCTCCCTGTCATCATTAACACTTGTTATCTTTTGTCTTTTTGACGATAGCCATTCTTACAGGTGTGAAGTGATACTGTATTGTGGCTTTGATTTGCATTTCCCTGGAGATGAGTGATGCTGAACATTTTTTTCATGTATCTGTTGGCCACTTCTGTGTCTTCTTTTGAGAAGTGTCTATTCAGGTCCCTTGCCCGTGTGTCCATTTTAATTGGATTATTTGATTGCCTGCTGTTGAGATATTTGAGTTCCTGTGTAGTTTGGATATTAACCAAAATCTTGAATCTTTTGGATATACATCTCTGTCTCATCCTGTAGGTTGTCTCTTTACTTCATTCATTGTTTCCTTTATTGTGCAGAACCTTTTGAGTCTGTTGTAATCTCATCTATTTTTGCTTTTGTTGCCTGTGCTTTTGGGGTCATAGCCAAGAAATCATTGCCCAGACCATCACCATGAAGATTTCCCCCTATGATTTCTTCTTGTAGTTTAAAATTTTCAGGGCTTATGTTTAAACTTTGGTCCATTTTTAGTTGATTTTTACATGTGATATGGTGTCTTATATCGTTCTTCTGCACGTCAATATCTCGTACGGCAAGAAATGCTAAAGATGAACTCCCACAGGTTTTCTTTGTCTGATAAAAGTATTTACTGCTCTTTCATTTCTAAAGGACAGACTTGACAGCTGTAGTATTCTTGGTTGGCAAGGTTTTTTTGTTTGTTTTTTTCCTTTCTATACTTTGTATGATTCCACTATCTCCTGGCCTGCAGGTTTTCTGCTGAGAAGCCATCAATATTTTTATAGGGTATCCTTTGTACATTGCTTTTCTCTTGCTGCTTTCAAAATTCTCTTTGCCTTTGATTTCTGGGAATTTTTTTGTGGTGTATCTTGGTGAAGAACTCTTCATATTTGATCTATTTGGGGTTCTTTGGGATTCATGAATATAGATGGCCATTCCCATCCAGATTTGGGTCATTTTTTGTTATACTTTCTGTTCCTTTGACTTTCTCTGATGCTTCTTGGACCACCATAATCCATATATTGTTTTGCTCCATGGTAACCATTGGTACTGTTGGCTTTTTCCGTCTTTATCATTCTTTATTTTCGTTTTCTTTCTGTGACTTGGTAATTTCAAATTATCTGTTTTCAGGCTCACTGATTCTTCTGCTTAGTCTACTCTGCTATTGACGTTCTCTGTGGAATTTTTATTTCAGCTATTCTGTTGTTTGATTTTAGAAATTCTGCTTGGTTCTTTAGTATGGTGTCTATATGTATATGAAATTTCTCATTTGCTCATGTATTGTTTTTCTGACTTCATGTAGTTGTCTGTGTTCTCCAGTAGCTAACTGAGCTTCTTTAAGATGAGCATTTTCAATTCTTTCTCTATTAGTTTAGGCTAGTTACCAGTACTTTATTTTGTTTCTTTGGTGCTGTCATGGTTCCCTGATTGCTCAGGAGCCTGTGGCAATGTGTTGGAATGTGTGCTTTGAAGAGGCAGGGACTTATTCTAGTCTTTACAGACTGGCTTTGTGAGGGAATGCCCTTCACCAGTCAGCCTGTCCACAGATTCTGGGCAGGCCATGTGTGATTCAAGGGTGGTCAGTGGCTGTATCCAGAGAGGAGACCTGAGGCCTGTGTCCATGGGGGCTGAATTGGCACTGGAGTGGACCTTAAACTTGAGTTTGCAAGTGTCAGCCAGGTGCTGTGATGGGTTCCATCACTAGGTCCACAGGGAAGGTCCTGGAGCGTGAGTTAATGGGGACTGATGTGATACTAGGGCAGACCTGGAGGCTGAGTCTGTGGAGGTGGGCCAGAATGCTGGGTCTGTAGTGCTAGCCGGAAGGCACAATCTAGGACTGCTGTCTCACCCTTATCATGCCCTTGTCTCTGTGTGCCTCCAGACTTCAGTTTCCTGCACTCTCTTTTTCTTTATTCCATAGGGATAGGTTGGCTGATTTCTGTGAGTCAGGCACCATGCTAATGCTGTTTATAAGAGGCCCTGTCTTCATGGAACCTTTTTCTGGGGTAGTATTAAGACATACATATCGACATAACACTCAGAAATTTCTGATAGGAACCATGAAGAATAATTAAGTGATGGGTGAGACAGAGATGAGGTTGGCAGGGTGTCTCAGGGATGGTGATGTTCGTCAGTATCCAAAGTTGGACAGGTCTAGTGTTGCAGAGAGCCAGAAATAGTGCTCCTGAGTAGCCTCCCCAGGAATGAGAGGCCCAGGGTGCAGGGGTTCGGGGATACTGAGCAAAGACAGGGCCACTGTAGTGAGTGGACAGCAGACAGGTCAGGTGGGCAGCGTGGCAGATCACATGTCGAAGAGGTTGGATTTTATTTTGTTATTTTATTTTATTGTTAAAAAACAAAACAAAACAGTAGACTGGGCATGGTGTGGTGTGGTGTGTTGGCTCACACCTGTAATCACGGCACCTTGGGAAGCCGAGGCAGGCTGTTCACTTAGGTCAGGAGTTCAAGACCAGCCTGCCCAATATGGGGAAACACCGTCATGACTAAAAATACTGAAAATTAACTGGATGCAGTTGTGGGCGCCTGTCATCCCAGCCACTTGGGAGGCTGAGGAAGGAGAATCACTTGAACCTGGAAGATGGAGGTTACAGTGATCCGAGACAGTGCCACTGCACTCCAGCCTGGGCAACAAGAGCAAAACTCCATCTCCAAAAAAAAAAAAAAAAGTAAATATTTCAAAGGTTTATATTGATTACATATTGAAATGTAGTGTTTTAGACACTTTCGGTTAAACATAGATTTTTAAACTTAATTTCACCTCATTTCTTTTACTACTGTAATATGGTTCTCATAGAATTCGAATTTCTTATGTGGCTTGTATTATATTTCTGTCAGCAGTACCAGTCAAAAGTATGTAATAGATACAGAATTGATGAGAAGACCAAGCCTGGAAGAGTGGATTTCTTTGTCTGGATTCCACTGAGGGCCAAAAGAGGAGTTTCCCAGCCACTGTCAGCCTCTGGGAATTCTCTGGCAACTCACTAATTGGCTTTTCTCTCTCTTCCCAGGATTTTATAGATCACCATATAATGGAGCCTGTACCGGGTGCACAGAGGGTGATGATTACACCAGTAGTTTCAACAATTTGCCTTCTTGCCTCTCATGTGCAGTTTGTAAACCAGGTACAGAATGTGTGGACCCCTTGCCCAGAGGTGGCGTGCGGAGTGATGAGGCGGGAGTTGTAGCCGATGTGAGTCAGGGAACCAAGTTCCAGTCCAGCTTGGTGTTCATCATACCCTGTTCCGTGATTGTGACTTCGGTTGAATATAAACAAAAAAAGAGAAAGAAATCTTTTTTATAATACATGCCACCTGGCTGGGAAATCTTCTAAACCATCAGCTGCAAGTGGGTGAGGGAATGATAAGAGCACAGAGAAGTCCTGGCTGAGTGGACAGGGCTGAGTTTCAGTGGTGGCACGGATCTGCTCCGGTGCCCAACTCTACCCCTGGCTCTGTTCTCCTGGCAAGTGCTCGGCCTCACTCGGCCTTCAGGTTCTCATGCCCCTTCCTCCTCCCCAGCAGGGCCAGGGCTTTTGGGAAGTCACGCAAGGACTCCTCTCCTTGCAGAGTCCCTCAGGTGATGCCCCTGCACCTCCCTTGCTACTCACCATGTGATCTAAGTGATGCTTTCCCCCTAATCTGATGTAATAAATAATGAATCATGGTCCTTTTGTATGACTCTGAGTATTGGTGACAGCCGAACGGTGGGTGTTCTGTATCAGCCCCAAGTGTGCTGGTGCAGAAACTGGCCCTCAGAGCTTCTTGGTGAACTGAATTGAGCTGAACTGAGTGGGAGGGGGTTTGGGTGGTAAGGAAGGGTCGAGGGATATGTCAGGGAAACTCATTTCCAAAACCTTTTGCTCTGTCTTCAGGTGAAGATCTGAAAAGTCCCTGCACCACGACCACAGACACAGTGTGTCAGTGCAAAAACGGGACCTTCAAGAATGAAAACTTTCCTGAGAAGTGCCAGGAGTGCAGCACAGGGTGAGACAGCAGCCAGGGGGCCCCTACAGCTTTCAGGAACCCAAGAAGACCCGAGTCACCTGGTACCCCTTTCTCTCCCCTGACCCCATGGAGCCTCCAGCCCCATGAGGCATCCCTGAGCCTGTGGGGTCTCCTGAGCCTGCGGTGGCCCCTCCTGGTCCATCTGCCTGTCCCCACCCCTGCCCCCTGCAGCAGCCCCTTCCCCCTGCAGCAGCCCCTTCCCGACCCTCTCCAGCACGAGTCCCTTTGGGCAGGCCGAAGTGTTCATTGGGCAAAGGAGGTGACTTTCTAGATTCTTTGATACTTTTCAGGGGACCTAGGAAATGTGATTTCCTTTTGAAATCAGAAGAAAACACTTGAATCCAGTGTGTCTTGTATTTATTTGTCCTTATTCCAAGTTGATTTTTAAAAATGTAATTTTTGATATTTTTTATGCAGACAGGGACCCATAAAGACAAAAGTACCCCTGGCCCACAAAAGTCATAGTAAGGCCGTGGGTGGAGCTTTCTTAAGTTCCCACGAAGAGCTGAGCCCACCCAGCCGGCCTTGCCCCTGACCCCTGATTTCTAAATAAGTCCTTCTTTTTCCTATTTGACTTTTAGGGGAAAACAGTAATTTGCTCTTTTCTGGCCCTCCAGTGTTTGCTGTGACTGGGAGGAACCAGCAGACAGGGAGGGGCGAGGGCTCACTTGTATTGTGGGTTAACTGGAGGATGGGGCTCAGCTTTTGGCCACATGGGCTTGTGATTTTCCCCTGGAGTGCGGCTCCTCCTAACGCAGGCCTCCCCTGCAGCCCAGGGAAGCTCAGTGTGTGCCCAGCACAGAAGGCTCCTGGAACTGCAGCTCTGACCCCAGAGCAGGGAGGCCGAGGGGCTGAAGTGCGCATGCTCAGACCCTTCCCCACCCTCAACCAGGGAGCATGGGGTGGGGGCCTGCAGACACAAGGAGCCTGTCTTTTCCCTGACGCCTTCTCAGTGACATTGGGCAGGGAGGGTGGCTCCTCTTTCATCCCACCTGGCCAGCTTTCCATCAAGAGTCCCCCTTCTTCCTTCCTGTTTGTACCCAGGTGCCCCAGAGAGATGGTCAAGGTATGGGATTGTACGCCCTGGAGTGACATCAAGTGCATCAACGAATCAGCTGCCAGTTCCACTGGGAAACCCCCAGCTGCAGAGGGGACAGTGACCTCCAGCCCGGGGACTCCTGCCTCTCCCCTTCCCACCATAGCCGTCGTAGTGGTCTTACTTCTAGTGTTCATTCCGGGTGTGGCTGTGTTTGTTTGGAAGCCTTCACTGTGGAGGAAAGTCCTTTCTTGCTTGAAAGGCATCTGCTCAGGTAGGTGCTGGCTGAGGGCGGGGCACTGGACACTCTCTGCCCTGCCCTCTCCCATCCTGTTCCCACAGACAGAAATGTCTGTCCCTGCCCCTAGTCTAAGTATTTCTGGCCTGGCTCTTTTTTTCCTCCTTGTGATCACCCCATCCCCACATCCCGTGCACCCCCCCAGGAACCTGGTCTCATCATTCTCTTTCCTGGGGATGGGGGACCCCTCATCACCCAGCCAAGATCAGGAGGGCAGGGCCAGTTCCTCCTGTCTTCAGGCCCAGCCTGACAGGGGGCAGTCAGCTCCTCAACTGGATGACAAGGGTCAGGATGAGAAGCAGTCACAGGAGTTATTCAGCCTTGGTCAGAGCAGAACACAGAGCTGAAAACAGATTTTCCACGTGTTTGTTTTTATTCTAGTTCCCCTTCTCATCCCCTTTCCCCAGGGTGTCCCTGAATTGCAAGGTCCCATTTCTGTCCCCAGGCCTATGGCTCCTTGTCCAGTGTCTAGCCCCCAGCCTGCCCCTGCCCCCCACTGCCCTCTGGAAGGGAGGTGCTGCATGGGCCCCTCCCCGCCTTCTAAGGAGACTCCTTCTCTTCCAGGTGCTGGAGGGGACCCTGAACGTGTAGACAGAGTAAGTTGGTTTCTCGAAAACTGGGGGCATCATGGGTTCAGGAACTGCTTCCTGTCCACTGCAGCGCCAGTGTGGGCACAATCCCTGGTCCTCATAATGACCCTGACTCTCTGAAGTGGTCTGGGGACTCTGGGGATAAATGGCCATTTTGAGCACCACACAGACTGGCTGGCCATGCTGCATCCCTGTCCTTCCTGCAGCCTGGGTGACACCCTCACCCACAGCCTGCACGCTGGGGATGGGGTGACTGCCTGCCCTGTCTCAGCAGTGGGTCCCAGATGTGCTGAGCCTCAGCTGCCTGGGGTGACCTCGTTGGAAGGGGTTGGGGATAGCAGGTCCAGCTGCATACTGCAAACCCTGAAGCTGAGCCCGGGGTGTGGACTTAAGTGAGCAGTTTGCCCTTCCCAAGGTCTTTTTCAGGTGTTCACATCCCTCACGAGGTCCTGAGGATGAGGTCAATGCCTGCAACGAGACCCTGAGTGATAGAGACTTCCAGCCCACCCAGGTCCCTGAGCAGGAAATCAAAGGTCAGGAGCTGGCTGAGCTGACAGGTGTGACTGTACAGTCGCCAGATGAGACACAGCATCTGCTGGTGAGTTGAGGATGCACAAGACTCTGTAGGCAGTGGGAGTGGGCAGTGCCTCTGCTCTCCTGGCCTAGGTAGTGGGCATAGTACTAGTAGTCCCCAGTGTCTTTTGTTGCCATCTTTATGTTCATGAGCACCCGATGTTTAGCTCCCTTTTATAAATGACAACATGAAGTATTTAGTTTTGCGTTCCTCCATTAATTTGCTTAGGATAATGACCTCCAGCTCCATCTATGTGGCTGCAAACTACATCATTTTATTCTTTTTATGGCTGTGTAGTATTCTGTGGTGTATTCCATGGTATATATACTGTATTCCATGGTGTATATATACAACAGTTTCTTTATCCAGTCCACTGTTGATGGGAACCTAGGTTGATTCCATGTTATTGCTATGATGGATAGTGGTGTCTTTGGTAGAATGATTTGTTTTATTTTGTTTTCTATATCTGGTGAGTTTGCTGGGTTAAATGGTAGTTGTTTTAAAATTATTTGAGAAATCTGTAAACTCCTTTCCACGGTGGCCGAACTAATTTACATTCCCACCATAAGTATATGAATGTTCCTTTTTCTTCATAGCCTTGCCAACATTTGTTGTTTCTGGCTTCTAATAATTGCCCTTCTGACTGTGTGAGATGGTATCTCATTGTAGTTTTGATTTGCATTTCTCTGATAATTCATGATGATGAGCATTTTTTCATGTTTGCTGGCCACTTGTATGTCTTCTTTTGAAACATGCCTATTCATGTCTTTTGCCCATTTTTAATGGGGTTTTTTTTGTGTGTTCAATTAAGTTGCATATAGTTCCTTAATAGTAGACCTTTGTCAGATGCATCATTTGCAAATATTCTCTCCTATTCTGTAGGTTGTCTGTTTACTCTGTTGATATTTTCTTCCTTCCTTTCTTTTCTTTTCTTTCCTTTTTTCTTTTTCTTTCTTTTTTTTTTTTTTTTTTTTTTTGAGATGGAGTCTCTTTTCGTTGCCGGGATGAAGTGCACTGGTGCAAACTCAGCTCAGTGAAACCACTGCCGCCTGGCTTCTAGTGATTCTCCTGCTACAGCCTCCCAAGTAGCTATGACTACAGGCATGACACCACACCAAGCTAATTTTTGTATTTTTAGTAGAGAGACAAGGTTTTACCACGTTGGCCAGGATGATCTCGATCCCTTGACCTTGTGATCCATCCACCTCAACCTCCCAAAATCGTGGGATTACAGTTGTGAGCTACTGTGCCCAGCTCTTTTTTTTAAATTTTTTTTTTTTTTAAAGACAGAGTCTTTCTTGTTACCCAGACTGGGGTGCAGTGGCATGATCTTGGCTCATTGCAACTTCCACCTCCTGGGTGCAAGCGATTCTCCTACCTCATCCTCCCTAGTAGTTGGGATTGAAGGCATGTACCACCATGCCCAGCTAATTTTTGTATTTTTAGTAAAGATGAGGTTTCATCATGTTGGCCATGCTGGTCTCAAACTTCTGACCTCAGGTGATTTGCCTGCCTTGGCCTCCCAAAGTGCTGGCATTATAGGTATGAGTGACTGTGCCCAGCTTGTTGATAGTTTCTTTTTGTTGACAGTATCTTTTGCTGTGCAGTAGGTCTTGAGTTTAATTAGGTCCCATTTGACAGTTTTTGCTTTTGCTGCATTGTTTTTGAGAACTTAATAATAAATTCTTTGCCATGGCTGATATCCAGAAGGGTGTTTTTCTAGATTTTCTTCTAAGATTCTTATAGTTCATGGTCTTACTTTTAAACCTTTAATCCACCTTGAGTTAATTTGTGTATATGGTGAAAAGTAGGAGTGTAGTTTTCATTCTTCTGCATATGGCTAGACAAATATCCCAGCATTATCTGGTGAATAGGGAGTTGTACTAGTCCCTTTTCATAGTGCTATGAAGAAATACCCAAGACTGGGTAATTTATAAAGAAAAAGAGGTTTAATGGACTCAGTTTTACATGGCTGGGAAGACTCACAAAGGTAAGGTGAAGGATGAGCAGAGGCACATCTTACATGGTGGCAGGGAAGAGAGCATGTGCAGGGGAACTGCTCTTTATAAAACCATCAGATGTTTTGAGTCTTTTTCACTACACAAGAACAGGATAGGAAAAAACTCACCCACATGATTCAATTACTTTCCACATTTTTTCAATTCACTTTAAAATTAATGATTAATCTAGAGGCTGGGCACAGTGACTTACAACTGTAATCCCAGCACTTTGGGATGCTGAAACAGGTGGATCACGAGGTCAGGATATCAAGACCATCCTGGCTAACTGGGTGAAACCCTGTCTCTAGAAAAAATACAAAAAATTAGATGGGCATGATGGCACATGACTGTAGGCCCACATACTCAGGAGGCGAGACAGGAGAATCTCATGAACCTGAGAGACAGAGGTTGCAGTGAGCCGAGATCCTGCCACTGCACTCCAGCCTGGGTGACAGACTGTCTTAAAAAAAAAAAAAATCTTATAAATATTTAGTATTTCCTTATGAAAGCAGATAACATTTGGAGTCATGTATTTTGTTGTAACTGAGTTGTGATTTGTGTTCCTCTTCCAATAAGCTATTCCTGTTTCTTCTCATGGCTGTTGAGTATTTTGTATCCATATGAGTTGGATAGCCCTGTCATTCTATTAGAAACTTACTGCATCTGCTATGTTCTTAACAGCCCTCCAGACATACACTTATATTTCAGTGTTGTAGTTTCATGCTTAGGGATTTTAAATGACATTGAAAATGATTAGTGTGTCTGCCCCCTTCCAAGAGTCTTGCCTCATTTTTGTTTCCCATCTTGTTGCCTAGACCAGACCTTTTGGAACAATGTTCAGCTGTGCTTAGGAAGGCAGGGTTTGGGTCCTGATTTGATTTCTGGGGAAGGCCTCCAACGTGTCACCCTTAGGAATGGTGTTCACTTTTGGTTTCATATAGAAATTCTTCTCATCAGGAATGCAGCCAACTATTCTAAAGGTTTAGAAAAAGATCAAAATTGGTGTGTAATTTTACCAAATGTCTTTCTAGCCTCCATAGAGATTGATGTTTTATTTAATTACCCTATTGATATAGTACAGTATTAATGATCCAAGATCATTTACAGTCTTGGAATGAATCATTTTGTTAGGTTTTCCTGGGTGCCCTCATATATAGTCTTCTGCTGAGACTTCTGCTGGTAAAAATTCTGTAAGGAAGTGATCATCTCCTGTGAAGGTGGGTGGGAGTTGATTAGATGGGGCGGAAGGGGACTTGCTGGGGTGGTGGGAATGTTCTCTGTCTTGATCAGGGGATGATTACACCAGTGTATACAGTAGTCAGAGCTGGGCAGAACACTTACACAGTGAGCATTTACTGCATTTCACTTATGTCTCAATGAGCCACTGTCACACAGAACCTGAGAGCTATGCAGAACTAGAGGGTTATCTCCATCTCATGGAGACACCAGAGGGGAGGTGCTGCTGGTGTCAGGGCTGGCTGGTGGTTGGGGTCAGTACTGGACTGCAAGACTCCTGACTGATCACAGCCTTCCCCACCGTGTGTTTCATGAACAGGCAGAAGCCGAAGGGTGTCAGAGGAGGAGGCTGCAGGTTCCGGTGAATGATGCTGACCCCACTGAGAGTAAGTATTTTGTGGCTGGAGATGCAACAGGAGAGCAGGGAATAGGGACAATGTCATACCTGCTGTCCCCATAGCTGAGAGGCCTCTTCTGGAGCACTCGCTCCTGGAAGCGTGGGGTCCTATGCTGATCCTGGGCTGATTGTCCCTGGAGCATCAAGACCGTCAGTCTCCTCTTCTGTCTTCTCAGTCAACACATTGCTGGGTGCCTCGGTGACACCGGGAGAACGACATGCAAAGGAAACATTTCAAGACCAACTGGTGGGCGCTGAAAAGCTTCTCTATGAAGAAGGTGACGGAGGCTCTGCTACGTCCTGCATGTGAAAGAATCTCTTCAGGAAACCAGAGCTTCCCTCATTTACCTTTTCTCCCACGAAGGAAAGCAGCCTGGAGGAGACACTCCAGTGCTTGACCCACGCCTCAGCAAACTACTGTCCAATACGGTGCAGCTTACCTGAGGTCCTACAACTTTGTCCATGCACTTGGAGTCATTTTTAAGGAATATTGACTATGATAAGCAAATTTCAGAGATTTATATAAGATCCTTGGTGGCATAGAGTTATACGATTGCATATTAAGGGTGGTTTTAGGCCACATGCGTTGGCTCATGCCTGTAATCCCTCCAATTTGGGAGTCTGAGGCGGATGAATCACTTGAGCTCAGGAGTTCGAAACCAGCCTGGACAACACAGTGAAACTCAGTCTCATTTAAAAAGAAAAACGGTGGTTTTAAGATGTCATTATTTTCAGTTCTTCATCCTGAGACAAGTCTTTTTTCTATTTCTTATATTGTAGGCTCCATCTCGGCTGGTGTGTGCATTTAATTACATCTAACTACAGATGCCACACAGCGACAATGGTTTGCCTTACAGTTTTTTAACTTTGGAACTGGATGATCTGGCTATTACCTATATTTTTAGTTTAGGATATTTTCGACTTGATGAGATTTTCAAGACATAGCCCCATAGTAAGTCATGAGCATGTGGAGTTATGAGGGTTCGACTTCGAGTTTTGAGTTTTAAGATACGATTATTGGGGCTTGTCCCCACCTTAGGTGGAGAATAATTTGTATTTCTGAGTATTATATGATATACATCTTTCTATTTTCCGATTTTTTATAATGACGTAAGCATGGAAAAACTCTTAAGAAATGCACTTATTAGGCTGTTTACCTGGGTTGTCTGTATGCAAACCAGCAGTCACAAATGACTAGAAATATAAGTAGCTACGGAGGGAGAAATCCTCCCTCTTTGGGAGGCAGTGCCTGTGTTCCAGATCTCCTCCTACGCCCTGTGACCGGACCAGGGTTTGATGGCTGGCAGTTTCTCAAGGGGCCTGTCTTATTTGATAATTTTAGAGGTATATAGCAGTATTTATTTATAAATAAATATTTATTTATTTATAAGTAGATGTTTACATATGCCCAGGATTTTGGTGAGCGTGGGATCTACGGGAAGCCATGTGTCTGGTCGGTCCTGCTGGGACAGGCATGAGACTGCATCTTCCTGCTTGTCCACAGCAGATGAGGACAGTGAGAACTGGGTGAGATCTGAGACTGCGAATAGCTTCTCTGTCAAGTGCCCTTACAGCTGAACAGGAGTGAATCTTGGGCGTCCTTTGGGCTCAGAGCAGAGCGGGTGTTCATCTGCCCGAGCATCTGCCTTGTCATCGAGAGGGAAGAGTAGACGGTGTTTGGGAATGGTATGAAATGGTTGCTGACTCAGGCGTGGGCAGCCCCTCTCGCTTCTGGTGCTTTGTGATGCTGAGCCCCTGGACAGCATTTAAGGGTACAGATTCCTGAGCTGCATTTTAGGGTACAGATTCCTTATTTGAGGGGCTTGGTCCCTTTGTAAGCATCTGACAGATTTCAGAAATACTAGTTCTTAAACACTGTGACAACGGAATCTAGAATGGCTGATGCAGTAATGCTTCGTTCTTGTGTCCCATTCTATTATTTTACTTAAAAGCCTCAGTAATCATTTTGTCCTCTTTCCAGCAAACTCTTCTCCACAGTAGTGCAGTCGTGGTAGGATAATTTACAGTTGTAGTCATTCTAGGGGTTTCCGTGTTTGCCGTCTCAAGGCATTGTCTGTTGTCCTGCTCCGGGACTGGTTTGGCTGAGACAGTTAGAATTCCCTGAAGATTTCAGCACATTGACAGTATTGTATCCATGATCTTTGGGAGGGGGTGGCCTTTCTGGTCTTGGCACTTCCATCCTCCCCCACTTCCATCTGGCATCCCACGTGTTGTCCCCTGCACTTCTGGAAGGCACAGGGTGCTGCTGCCTCCTGGTCTTTGCCTTTCCTAGGCCTTCGGTGCAGGACGCTCGGCCTCAGAGCTCAGAGGGAGCCAGTCTGGTCCCAGCTCCCTTGTCCCTTCTGCAGTGGCCTTCCTTGAAGATGCATTTAGAATATCAGCCTTATCAGTGTTGGTTAAGCTTATTTTTGTAAAGTAAGCTTCTTGACAACATGAAAATTGTTGGGAGTTTTTAGTGTTAATTTGTTTGTTTTGGTTTTGCTGTATACCCAGGCCAAATAGCACATAACACCTGGTTATATGTGAAAAGCTCATATGTTCATGAATTTTGTCCAAAATAAACATGAAACCTTATATAAAAAGAGATGCGGCGTTTGTTTATTTCCATCCTTCCCTCCTCCTGTGAAACAGCTTTGAGTGACAGGAGGCCAGGGCTTCATTCCTGCTGGGACTCCTTACTTGTCCCCTGTCTGCCTTCAGGCTTGGCCTGCCTGGCGGGGTTGGGGGGTGGGGTATGGCGGGGTGGGTTGGGGAGGTTTCTGCCCATGACTCCCTGGATGTTAAAGTGCCAGGTTCTTGGGTCCTGGAATTCACACCTCCTCCCTGTCTCTCTCCTGTCTGCTCCTCCCTCTGGGGAGAGGGACACCAGCTCTTCCCTGCATCCCCATCAGTGGACTCGGGTGGCTCAGCCCAGCAGGCACCTCAGAGACCCATTTTCTGCTGCCCTTGCCCTGGAAGACCCACTCTCCATCTCGCCCACAGCTCCAGGAGGCCCAGGTGTGCCCTACGCTGACTCCTGATCTCTAGGCCAGTTACCCTTTCCCTGACCTTTGACTCCAGTCTGGTCCACTCCCAACACACAGTATCAAGTGCCCCTCTGAAGGTGAGGAAGGGAGTCTGCAGTCCCCAGATGGACTTAGAGCCCAGAGTTTGTGTGTGCATTTGAAAATCAATCTTGGGCAACTTTCCGACCAACGGCATAGGATGGCTTCCTGAAAGAAATAGAACTACTGTGTTAATATGCAGAGGTATTTTCTTCTGCACACACACACACTCACCCCTGTGCACACCACACACATGCACAGTTTTGGTTCCAACAACACTTCATTAATCTTGATCTGATGTGCTTGCTTTTTTGTTTTCTTCAACTAAGAAGAAATTAACTTAAACATGCATTTGCTTATTTTGGGACTTAGGTTTCACACATTGATTAGGTGTTTGATTCCCTTTTCAGGATGGTTTACAACTTGCATCTGCCTATTGAGACATGCGTCCCTGCCCATGCACATTCTTAAATGCAGATCATAGGTTCCTGCTTGCTTGTTTGCCTTTTTATTTGGTCAAATGTTTTCATGTGCAGAAATTTTAAAGAAATGTAATCTACTGTTGTATTTATTTTGTCATTGATTATAATCTTATGAAAGTCACCTCCTAGACAAAAGGTAATGTACACTTCTTTAGGTGGTTTTTTTTTTTTTTTTTTTGAGACAGGGTTTCACTCTGTTACCCGGGCTGGAGCGCAGGGCTCACTGCAGCCTCCACCTCCTGGGTTCCAGCTTCCTGCTTTTGTCAAGGGTGTATTTTATTCTTTGTAGTTATCATGAATGGGATTGTCTTATAGTTATGCCATTTCTCATGAAACCAATAGAATCCTGAATCCTCTTCTCCCACCCTCTTCTCCCCCCTCTACTGTATCCAACCTTGTCCCCCAACAACACCGTACACCTGTCCGTCTTCCCTTCCTCTTTCACCTTCCCTCCTTGCTGGAGCTCAGGGCCTAGGTCAGCTTGCCTAGGGCCTCCGGAGGGGCTGTGTAGTCCTTCCTGTATGACAGGCGCTGGCCCGTGGACTACTGAGCACTGGACCTGCGGCTAACCATTCACAGGCATGTGGGTGGCAGGGACTGGCCCCAGCTGACCACGGTTTCCCAAGTGCACAGCTGGGAATTCAGTCTTCCCTGCCACTGTCCCCGGCTGTCTAATCTGGGGTCTGCAGATCATCTAAACTCAGAAAACTCCCGGACCCTTGAAAATCCTCTAATAACGTGGAGAAAACCAAAACACAACAGTGAGATGTACCATTGTTTACTTCTTAGACTAGCAAAGAATGAAAGTTCAGAGTAGCAAGGGTGTAGAATGCGCTTGTGTATTCTTGGTGTGAGAGTAAACTTGTTACAATGTTCTTTTGGAGGACAATTTGTCAATATCTAAACCATTTTAAAATAATTACTGACTTCACAATTTTGCTTTTAAGTAGTGCACATGGCTATCTGGATACCTGATTCCTACAAGGTGATTTGCTACAGTCTGTAAGAATTCAAAAACAAATGCAACTATCCACAGAAGGCAACAGTAAAATGAGCCATAGTTCAACCATGAAAGAAAATACTATGCTTTTGTTAAAAAGAATGAGACAAATGAATATACTGACCAAAACATCTAATATATTAGCTTCAGAATTTAAAAAATAGTTACACCTGTAAATACATTTTTCTGACAGTGTTTCCAAGGCATCCTGCAGGGTGTGGACTGCGGGGCCCCGCCTGGTTTTGCTGACCCATCTCACTAGCATCCGCACAAGACATCCCCTTAGGCTAGCTGCATCAGCTCTGGCCAGGAGGATCTCATTGTGAGGCTCAGCTGCCTCATGAGCAGGTTCCAGGAGTTAAAGGGCAGGATCTGTGCAAAGCCGTGGAACAACATCCACTGAGCCGGGTGGAGAAAGCCACCGAGACATCCAGGTGAGTTGGGACTCAGTTCAGAAAGGGCAGAAGATCCCACATCAGGACCAGAACCCAAGGGGGGAACTCGGAGAGCCCCCTGTGTGGGGAACCTGCCGTTTCTTCGCCCACCAGGTTCCCATCCACAGACAGCCCACCCATGCTGCCTGGCCTCCCCCGCACCCAAGGCACTGTGGGAAGTCAAGGTCATCAGAGAATCAGCCCTCACACAGGGCTGAGTACCTACCTGGGGAGGCTGGATGGACGCTACAGAGGCAGAAAGCAAAGTGGGTGAGAGCCCGAGGGAGGGAGACAGTGTGGCTGCAGCAGGAGCTCAGAGGAGGGAGGCTGCCTCGGCTGCGCTTGTCCTGGGAGCAGGTCCCAGGGTGGCCGTGTCTCCATCTGTGGAAAGCACAGGGCCTGGGGCAGGGGACCTTTGTTTACACCCAACTCAGCCTCATTCCCTGAGGCTGGGACAGAGGGAGGTGGGGGGCAAACAGGCCCTGAGCCAGAAGCGCACCCCAAGGGGCAGCAACACCCCTCCCCCCAACCTTGGGACTGTGAAAGTGTGAACACAGAATATCTGAGACGGGTCTTAATTAAGTTAGAATGTTTATTTTGTGACCAGGCAAAGTGGCTCCTGCCTATAATTCCTGCTGTTTGGAAGACCAAGGCCGATGGATCACTTGAGGTCAGGAATTGGAGACCAACCTGGTCAAAACTTGGTCTCTACCAAAAAGACAGAAATTAGCTGGGTGTGGTGGCGCACACCTGTAATCCCAGCTACTCCAGAGGCTGAGGCACAAGAATCCCTTCAACCTGGGAGGCGGGGATTACAGAGGGCAGAGATCCTGCCACTGCGCTGCAACCTGGGCAGGAAAGCCAGACTCTGTCTCAAAAATAAATATAGAAATAAATTTTAAGATTTTTTTTTGAGACTGCTCTCTTGCCAGTCTGGAGTGCAGTGGCACAATCTCGGCACACTGTCACCTCCACCTCCCAGGTTCAAGCGATTCCCCTGCCTCAGTCTCCTGAGTAGCTGGGACTATAGGTGCATGCCATCACGCCCGGCTAATTTTTTTGTATTTTAGTAGAGACAGGATTTCACCGTTTTGGCCAGGATGGTCTCGATTTCCTGACCTCGTGATCCGCCCACCTTGGCCTCCCAAAGTGCTGGGATTACAGGCTTGAGCCACCTGCGCCCAGCCCATAAAAATGTTTTAAAAGTTTATTTTCCCGAGGTTAAGGACATGCCCGTGACACAGCCTCAGGAGATCCTTGGGACATGTCCCAAAATAGTTGGGGTCAGCTGTGTTTTATATATTTAGGGAGAGATGAGACATTAATCAATAGGTGTAAGATGTACATTGGTTCTGTCCAGAAGCGAGGGACAACCGGAAGTGGAGGCTTCCAGGTCATAGGGAGATAAGAGACAAAAGTTTGCATGCTTCTGGGTCTTTGATCAGCCTTTCACTGAATACACAACTTGTACGTAAAAGGGTAGAGGTAGAGGAATAGTCACTCATACCTTAGTCTGGCTCAGAGAATCTGCGTTTTTCATTAACAACAGCGTGGCAAGGCAATCAGATAAACATTTGTCTCAGGTGGGCAGAGGGATGACTTTCTGTCCCGCACCTGTGAAAATCAGCTATCAAGGTACATTGCCGGGGTGAAATTCGGCAGAACTGTTTTAGGGTAAGGATCTTGAGGCCCACAAAGAATTGCCTCATGGGGGAATTGTGAGGGCGGTATGTGGCTTTTTATACTTTGTAGCTATGTTATTTAGGAATAAAATGGGAGGCAGGTTTGCCGGACACAGCTCGCAGCTTGACTTTTCCCTTTGGCTTCGTGATTTTATAGTCCCAAGATTTATTTTTCCTTCACAAGTGATTCAATAAGATGTGTGTGCGCCGCACTACACACCACTCTCCTTAGAGAGGGAGGGCCAAGAATACGAGGCTATGTTTTGTACAGTCTCATTTAAAGAACATATAAAGAAACAAGTGATATTCATTGATTTTCATTCATCCTTTTCACCTGAGAACCTTCAGCCTTTAGATGACTGTAAAAGACAGTGGAGAAGCCTCTTGATCAGAGTCAGGAGTTGTGGATTCCAGTAGTGACCCTGAGAAGCAGCCAGCTACAGGACCATGTCAGGTCTTCTCTTTTGGTGTCCATGGGAATGATCATAAACCTCCCATCCTGCAGAGCTCACAGATTCTCTGTCCCTGTTTGCTCACTGAGATGTAAGTTAATGCAGTAAACTGTTCACTTAAAAAAACAAAACAAAACCAAAAAAACGGGCTTACTCTGTCACCCTGGCTGGAATACAGTGGTGCAATCTCAGCCCACTGCAACTTCAGTCTCCTGGGCTTAAGCAATCCTCCCACCTCAGCCCCTTGAGTAGCTGGGATGAGATACACACTATCACGCCTGGCTAATTCATGTATTAATTTTTAAAATTTATTTTTATTATTTTTGAGATGGAGTCTCGCTCTATCGCCTGTGCTGGAGTGCAGTGGCACGATCTTTGCTCGTTGTAACCTCCGCCTCCTGGGTTCATGCGATTCTCCTATCTCAGCCTCCCGAGTAGCTCAGACTATGGCTGGCTAATATTTTGTGTTTTTAGTAGAGACAGCGTTTAACCCTGTTAACCAGGATGGTCTAGATCTTCTGACCTCATGATCCACCTGCCTCGGCCTCCCAAAGTGCTGGGATTACAGGTGTGAGCCACTGCACCCAGCCTAGTGCTTATTTTTAGCAGGATAGGGTTTCATCATGTTGCCCAGTCTTGTCTGGAACTCCTGGACTCAAATGATTTGCACACTTCAGCCTCCCAAAGTGCTGGCATTATAGGTGTGAGCCGTTGCACACAACCTCAGCTGTTCACTTCTCAAGTGTTTCACTTCTTCTATGACAGCTATATACTTACATGTAACCATTATGCAATCAAGACAGAGAATATCCTCCATTCCCATAAAGTCTCTTTCTGCTACTTTTAGGCAATTTCCACCATTCCAACAAGACACAGCTACCTCCTCCCCAGCTTTTAGGAGACTAATGACGTTCATATAGATGAGGGTACTTCAGAAAATCTAAAGTAAAAGCTTATTCTGAGAATGTGAATGTGTTCAAAAATAATGTACCATGTTAATAGTATCAATAAGCAAGCATCATATTGTCTCAATGGGGGCTGAGAGCCATTTAGCAAAATCGTTCTCCTATTCTGGTTCTTAGAACAGGAGGACAATTGACAATGATAAGAATTTTTGTAGAAAATTCAGCTCCGTGTGGTGGCTCATGCCTGTAATCCCAGGGCTTTGGGAGGCCAAGGTGGGTGAATCACCTGAGATACGGAGTTCAAGACCAGCCTGGCCAACATGGCGAAACCTCATTTCTACAAAAATACAAAAGTTACCTCAGCATGATAGCAGGTACTTGTAATCTCAGCTACTTGGGAGGCTGAGGGGGAAGAATCGCTTGAACCCAGGAGGCAGAGGTTGCAGTGAGCTGAGGTCACACCACTGTGCTCCAGCTTGGGCAACAGAGCGAGACCTTGTCTCAAAAAAAGAAAAAAAGAAAAAAAAATGGTTTTATCCTATACAGGGAGTTTATGCTAAATCTTCATGCAGAAATCTAATGATTGTAGAGAGACAGGTTCCTCAAACAGGCCAGCCAGACTCCAATATGTAGTGCGAAGGCTCTGATTCACGGACCACCAGAAGAGAGAGGGTCTAGCGACTCACATCGGCAAACACTGTCAGTCACACTCCCTGTCCATCCTCCAGGCAAAGGCCTCTCTCCCCTGCGCCCACATGGGGCCGGTGGTAGGCTGCTTCTGAAATGGCCCCAGTGATCCTCCTTCCAGGTATTCATGGCTGGGACATAATAAGAAACATCTATTATTTTTTTTTCTCTGCTCCTGGTTTTGGGGACAAAGATTCAAAACATTGATGTTTCCTGAACAGTTGTGGTGAGAAGGGTTTTATTTTTTTAATCTTAAAACGACTTCCAGCATTCCTGAGTTGATGCTCACTAGGTGGCTCTTGGAGGAGAGGGTGCGGCTGCCACTGGAACCAACCACGTAATCAGAGCACCGGCGCTTTCAGCTCTGCCACACCCATCAGCTCAGAGCCTGGAGACGGCCTGAGAATTCAGCACCGGAAATGACTAACACTTTTCTGCCTACAGAGTGAAACTTCCATAAACACCATAAACCACAAGGTTGAGAGGAAGGGAATTATCAGTCGCTTACTGGGGTTGGACAGATGAGAGTAACATAGAAAAATTAAGGGCAACGTCACACTTTCTACATCAGAAGTAATGTCCATGGACTTTATATCACTATATGCTACAGATCTAATGATTTAATAAAACCTCCTTAAGAAATTAGAGAAGTTCATCTTATTTTATATTGAGCAATGGACATTCTAAGCTTACGACCAAGAAACAAAAGTGCACCCATAGATTTAACTACTTAAAATTTAAAATTTCTGTACATTAAAATCTAAGACAAAAAGAATAGGCAAATAAAAAAACAGAAATCTGTTCTCAGTATTTGGGAAGCGTGAAGCCTGTCTTTCCAGACAACACAAATTCTAAAAAATGAACTTAAAGGAGTTTAAACTACTGATCAATATATGAAACACAAGTCAGAGAAATGGATATCCAAGTCAGTTAATTCTTTCCTAGTTAGAAAAAATGAAAACAAAAGAGCAGTGATGTCAGATCTAAAGTGACACATTCTCAGTAGGAATCACAGCTCTGTGTGTGTGAGTGTGTGTGTGTGTGTGTTTGCACCTCTATGGGCTAACCCTGATATCCTACTTCTTCTAGGCAGTTGACTAATGCATGTGATCAGAAATGTGGCCAAAGATGTATTGTCAAATATTCAGAAATTCTTTCCCCCTGCACACTGGTGATTGAGGATTTGGGGAGAGGGGCTGGTATTTGGGTGGAGCCCGACACTGGACTCTCACCTTTGCCATCTTGAGCACACAGGCCAAACTCTTCATCTTTGGAGGGGACTTTACAGGATGTTTATTGCCTGTATGTTTTCTGGGGGAGGGGGGCTTTGGGCAGGGTCCTAATGTCAGGAGAAAGGGCACAGAGTCCCTTTTCCTGACATTTGGAGTCACCTATAATGAAAGGTCATACACAGAGAGCCCTACCTAGTGCTGGCTTGGGGGAAAACAGAGGAAAATGGGAGAATAGAGCAGGAGGAAAAGCAAGGTCAAGTGTAAGAAGAGGAAAGGTGAGACTGGAGGATTGTGGAGGATTCAAGCCACAGCTCACAGCCCAGGGCTTCAAGTGAGACTCAGGAGCTCATGGGCAGGGCAGGTGAGAAGCAGGGGGAGCCTGGAGCAGTACCCCAACCCCTACTGAGGGGTGCCAGGCCCCTGCCAGAGAAGCTTAGAGCTGGGTGGGAGCAGCAAGGGGGCTGGAAGCAGCGGCAGGAGTGCAGTGGTCAGCGAGGCGGCTGTGCGAGGAGGGAGTGGGAGCAGCAGCTGAGTGGACCGAAGTGTTTAGGCCGGGAGGGAGATCAGGGTTTAGGAAGAGGAGAGGCAGGCGTCCCGGGGAGGGAGCAGGCTCAGGACGGGCCTCCAGTGCAGCCTCTGACCCTCACTACCCCATTACAGCAGCTCAGTGGGAGGCGCCTCCCCTCCTTCCCCTTGTGCTGTCCAGCCTGGGCAGGATCCAGAATCAAACCATAATCCCTGGGTTACCGCAGCGGCCACAACCACCCGTCCCGGGACTGCGGGGAGTAACTACAAGTGACCACGTCCCCGGGGTGTAATGCTGCGCTCCACTCCCATCGCGCAGAGCAGGTGTGGGACGTTCTCCGCGGGCACGAGCTACGGGGAGGATTTCCGGACGCTTTCTGATTGATTTTGGGGCTTTTGACCCAAAGTTCGGCGGCGAAGTGCCTCCACCCTCCTCCTTCTCATGGATCTTCGTGGACAGAGCGTCCAGGCCGCCTCGACGGCTCCAGCAGGGCGCGACCCAGGACCCAGGACGGCGTCTGGAACCAGGCTATGGCTCCGGGACCCCAGGACCCTTCAGTTAGTCTTCGTCGTCGCAGTTCTGCTGCCGGTGAGCGGGCTGGGCCGGGGCAGGGGGAGAGGGGGAGGGGGACGAAGCGAAGATCCTGACCCTGGTCGCCTGTAGACGGGCGTGTCCGGGCAGGACGAACACCTCGTTGGAGTCGGGGGCAGAACTCGGTCTCGGGGCTGGGCTCGAGCGACCCTGCCGCGATGGAGGAGCAGAGCGCGGGGTCACCCCCGTTCTCAGGTGCGGTGAGGATCGAGTTCCAGAATCAATGGAAGGAGTATGGAAACTTATGAAAAAACTTATGAAAAACTTATGAAAAGTCAGTATGGAAACTTATGAATGAACCTCTGGAAGCCACAAAGCGGTTGCCTCTTTGGTTACTTACTTAGTTAAGAACAGTAACCCTATGTTTACATTGTTAAACGCGCTCGGAGATTGATTCAACACCCATTGAAAAAGCTTTCCAGGTCGGGCGCGGTGGCTCACGCCTGTAATCCTAGCACTTTGGGAGGCCGAGGTGGGTGGATCACCTGAGGTCAGGAGTGCAAGACCAGCCTCGCCATCATGGTGAAACCCCATCTTAAAAATAAATTAATTAATTAAAAAAAAAGAAAAGAAAAGCAAAAGCTTTCCAACGCTGTTTTTTTGTTTTTTTTTTTTTTTTAAACTTTTATTTCCTCTGACCTGAAAATGTCAGCAAGGGTAGGAAGCTCTTAACCTTGCAGTCAGGGTCTTCCACTCTCACCCGTGTGTCCCCTCTGCCTCTCACAGGTAGGACCCGGGGCTGACCCTTCCTTCAGCATAAACGGTGTAAATAAAGTTCTCTTTGCGAGTTGGCTTTGGAAACTGAGATTGGCAGTGGTGTGCACAATAAGGACATATTATAAATAAAACGGGCCGGGTGCAGGGGCTCACATCTGTAATCCCAGCACTTTGGGAAGCCGAGGCGGGTGGATCACGAGGTCAGGAGTTAAAGACCAGCCTGTCCAAGATGGTGAAACCCCGTCTCTACTAAAAAATACAAAAATTGGCCGGGCATGGGGGCAGGTGCCTGTAATCTTAGATACTCAGGAGGCTAAGGCAAGGGATTCCCTTGAAACTGGTACGCAGAGGTTGCCGTGAGCTGAGATGACGCCATTTGCACTCCAGCCTGGGTGACAGCGAGACTGTGTCTCTAAATAAATAAATAAATAAAATTTAAATACATAAATAGGGCAGGCGCAGTGGCTCATGCCTGTAATCCCAGCACTTTGGGAGGCTGAGGCGGGTGGATCACCTGAGGTCAGGAGTTCCAGACCAGCCTGGCCAACATGGCGAAACCCTGTTTCTACCAAAAACACAAAAAATTAGCCGGGTGTGGTGGCATACGCCTGTAATCTCAGCTACATGGGAGGCTAAGGTAGGAGAATTATTTGAACCCAGGAGGTGGAGGTTGCAGTGAGCCAAGATTGTGCCATTTCCACTCCAGCCTGGGCAACAGACTGAAACTCTGTCTCAAAATAAATAAATAAATAAAATGTGCAGACTTCCAAAACTTTTCCAGAGTGATTGAGATTTTTGCCAACAGCACTTTCTAAAATCCCTAAAAAAAAAAAAAAAAAAAAAAAAAAAAAAAAAAAAAAAAAAACGGCAGGGGGAGGAGTGGGGCCATTTGCATGTTTTCTTTGAATAAATTAATGTTAAATTCTGAAAAGCAGTATCATTTTCACCTGTCAAAAATTACACAACTAATTTCTTTAGTTTATAGTGGGTGGACCTTCCTTGAAGGCAGCTCAAGGAATGGCTGTGTCAGGACAGTGGTCCTGAAGACAGAATGTGTGGGTGACCTGTGTACACACACAGGTCAGCAGCCTGAGTTTCACAGTTTTGGAATGTGAGCTCTCTATGTCCCAAAGGAGGCTTTAATCCCTCTGTCAGTCTTGCCTTCATAAATGCATTTCAATGCACAATTGCTTTTAAAAATTTGGAGCGAACACAAATCACATTAGATGTTCTATGGCAGTACATTCAGATTCATCTTCTTTTTAACAAGGTATTGTATTTTACTGCATGGGTGAGTCACAGTTTAATTTACTGCTGCCGCCTAGGGGCAGCTGGTGAGATCCCATCCTGACTTTGCTAATTCCAACAGCATTGTTCTAAATACCTTCGTATGTATAGTGTGTCCACATGTCCATGTGCACCAGCTTATTGGGCACCTCTTTAGAAGTAGAAATTTACTTCTACTTCTATGGTATAAATGATTTCAGAAGTTTCTGTAGATGTTCACAAATGTACTGGGAGTATATGACCTGGAGACCCCAGATGAGACAGCAGGGGAGGGAGGCAGGGAGACTGAATTCCCAGCTGTGCACTTGAGAAACTGTGGTCAGCTGGGGCCAGTCCCTGCCACCTGCCATCCCTGTGAATGGAGATAAGGTCTGTGGCCCCAGGCTGTCAGGATAACATCAGGTGAGCCTGGAGCTGAGCTCAGTTCCTGACCCAGGTCCTGACTCTGTCAATCTCTGGGTCAGGTCCTTCCACATCTCTTAGAGAGGTCATTCCTCTCTCTCTAAGTAGGAATCCAGAAGTTCTTACATCTCAGAATCCTGGACTCTCAGGCTGTCAAGGACTCCTGGGATGGGAGGCTGGGAACAGCTGGGCCCTGCCATGCTTCCCTCCAGCTCTGTGACTCTGGTGTGGCCCCAGCTCCTGCTTGTAAAATGAAGAGGAGATAAAAATCTTCAGCAGCCCTGTGTAAACCTCAGAGGGCTGTGTCTGCAGGTGTCGGAGGACAAATCGTATCCTCAGGGCTGGTGTCAGTCTCTCTGGACTGGATCCTCAGGGCACGTGTCCTCCACCCAGCAGAGGCTGCACCTGCTCCTACCTGCACCTCAGTATGGGCTCCCTGAGCTTGGGCAGAAGCTTCTGAAGACTGGGGTGGAGCGCCGTGGGGAGGGGCCATGGAGGAACAGAGGAACCAGACTTCAAGTGAGGGCAGCGATGGTGCTGCAGGGCCACAGCCTGGTTCACCTGCCTTGCCTCCAGTTCTACTCCTGGGTCGCAGTTTGAAGAGTGAGCAGGAAAGGTCTCCATCCACGTGGCCCCAGATGGCTGCTCACCCAGCTTATACAGAAGGGCTACAGTCCCAGTTCTGATCCTCTCTGTCTGTATCCAGGAGTGGCAGGGCAGCGAAGCCCTAACTTCCAGGTTGGAGGTGGGGACAGTGGGGACAGTGCCAGGCCTCAAGCCTGTGCTGTTGGGCAGCTGGTGTCCTGCTCCCAGCCAGAGACTGCACATCTTCATGTGGTGGATTTTCCTAACGACCCAGGGAGAGGACGGCAGGTTGTTTTCTCTGTTTTAAAAGTGGCAAAAATGAGATGCAGGAGCAGTGTCTCTAGCATTTTTGGCCTCACCTTCTGTATAATAGCAGCCATATTTGTGCCTCTGCAGGGCTAGAGTTCTCTGAGCAGCTGCTTCTCCAGATCTCTGCCCTGTACTTGGCCCTCTGGGAGCTCCTATGGTTGCTCAGCAGAGTCCACAGGCTCTTTGGGGTCCCTTCCCTGTAACACAGCCTGGAGCTTGTCCTTAGGCGGTGAGCTGAGGCCACCACTGCACTCACCTTATGGGCTTGGGGGAAAGGGATTCATCCAGGAAGTAGACAGTGAACCCTCTACTCTGAGAACACCTGTGCCTGGAGTCTGCTGGAGCCAGGGAGGACAAACGAGCCCCATGTGAATCCTGCTCCCTGGAGCCCACAGTGTGGTGGGAGAGGCGACAGTAGGGATCATATCACTAATAGGAGGTAGCATGAGAGAGGCCTGAGGTCTCACCACCCTTGCCTCACCTCCTCCACCGAGGCCGTGCTGGAGGGAGGCTGCACTGGTGTGAGCCACAGGATGTGGTTTTGTTGGCCTGAGGCTGTTGTTTGGTTATAGTCACCATTGAGGGTCCTGGAGGGAAGCCAGCCTCCTCTTTAAGGGCTTTTTTTGGCTGAGAGTGAGGATTAAATTGACATAAGACAGGTGCACAGGAGAAAAGCACATAGTTTTTTTGTTTTTTGAGATGCAGTCTTGGTCTGTCGCCCAGGCTGAAGAGCAATGAGGCAATCATGGCTCACTGGAACCTCCACCTCCCAGGTTCAAGTGATTCTCCTGCTTCAGCCTCCCGAGTAGGTGGGATTACAGGTGCCTGCCACATGCCTGGCTAATATTAGTATTTTTAGTAGAGATGGGGTTTCACAATGTTGGCCAGGCTGGTCTCGAACTTCTTAGCTCAGGTGATATGCCCGGCTCAGCCTCCCAAAATGCTGCAATTACATGCATGAGCTACCATGCCCGACCAACACACAGATTTATTTAATGCAAGTTTTACCTGTCACAGAAAAAGCAGTAAGAGTCAGTTACCAAGTAACTTGTGAAGAAGCAAGTAACTATGAGGAAGGCTAAAAAGGGAAGTGGTTCTATTCTAGCAAGGGCTGCACAGGACTCTCTTAGCCTCGACTTGTCATCCTTAAAAGGAGGCTGTTCTATGTTTCCCTGGGGACTTTCATCTCCTGTTTTTAGGAAACACAAAAGAGGTCAAAAGGATCTTCTTGCACTTGCTGTTTTTCAATAGCCTTTAATTCATAATAGTCAATAGGCCAGGGTGGGCAGGGTGCGACGGCTCACACCTGCATTCCTGTCAAGGTGGGTGGATCCATTGAGCCCAGGATTTCAAGACCACTTGCAGAAACATAGTGGAACCCTGTCTAAAAAAGCACACACTTACACACACAGACACACACACACACAGAAAATCATGTTGTGAAAAAATCCAAGCAGAATGCATACCATTTGATTCCTCTTCTTATTAAAATGCAATTAATCTATTAGGACAAAAAGCAGAAGAATTATTGCTGGGGACATAGGGGTCCAGCAGAAGAGAGGATTACACTGAATAATGAAGAAACACTGCAGGGCAGTAGACATGTCATTATCTTCTCGCGGTAATAGTTCCACAGTGTATACATACATCTCAGTCTACCAAACTACCTAGTTCAAGAATGTCCACTTTGTTTCATATCCATTATACCTCAATCTATTTTTAAAAAATCTTAAATAGAATATAAGCACTTAAGTTTGTACTGTATTCCCTATAGCTCTTGCACATAGATCATAGAAATATGTATACATATAAAGTCAGTATCCAATTAAAATGGGATTCTAAAAGGTAATTAACATTAAAATGTGCAAGGAAAAAGGAGCCAAAAAATTCGACTAGACGTAGCTTAAATACGAAATGTACAGGTCTGTCTCAACTATATTGTTGCACTATCTGTAAATCCACTGGACAATACAGTTCAAAGTCAGAAATGCTTGGAAGGGCTGAAGAAACAAGGCTCAACCATATGTTGTCTATACGAGAGGGGAGTTGAAGACACACAGATGCTGTACGTTGAAAGTAAATAAGATGGAAAAAGTGTAAGGCCAGGAAAACTGCTGTGGTTATGTCAATGTCAGATGAAATTGATTATGTTAGCAGTGGATGAGATCTGAGTTACCTTATGCTGACAGCGGTGAATCCGTAGGGGTCCATAGCAACTTCAGCTCTTCGCCTCCTCAGAGGAAAGAACTGGACTGAGGGGCATAAGGCAGAAGGAGAGATGGAGGCAAGTTTCAGAGCAGGAGTGAAAGTTTATTGAAAAGCTTTAGAACAGGAAGGAAAGGAAAGAAAAGAAGGAAAGTACAACTTGGAAGATGGACAAGCAGGTGACTTGAGAAGCCAAGTGCACAGCCTGACCTCCCAACTTGGGGATTGATAGGTTGGCACACTTCAGGGATCCTGCCTCATTTCTCCCCACTTTAAAAATCTTATTGGGAAGCTGCTGATCACTTTCAGGTGTTTTCTTTGTATTAGCAGACTGCCTTTTTCTGGAATCAACAATACTTTAGAGAAACAGTTAAGGACCCCCTGATGGTCACCCAAAACTGCTAGTGTCAGAAGCTGGGAGCTCTCTCCTGCCCTGCTCATACCTGACTACTGTAGCAAGTTTAGGACCCAGAATATTATGGGAGATCAAAAGGGACCGTTGTAGTTAAAAAGGTGAATTCTTCAAGGAGTATAATAATAACCACAAATTGTATATGCCTGGTAATACAGCTTAAAAACACATGATGCAAAAATGGAATGAGAAGGAGATTAAATCAGCCCTTTCTCTGCAATTGATAGAATGAGCCGATGAGAACACCAGCTAGTTAACTGGCAAGCGATCTGAACACTATCAACCACCTTGATATGACTGGCATTTAAAGAGCAGGAGTAGAACATCCACTGAAGATTCTTTTTTTTTTTTTTTTTTCCTATGCTTATGATACTCTTGCCAAGATAGACCAGGTTCTGGGCTATAATACGTACAAAATGACCTCTAAGCTTAATGAAACTAAACTGGAAATCAGTAAGTATCCATAGAGAATTCTAAAATTTGGTTATTGAATAACACACTTCTAGAAAAAAATCTATGGTTAAGAGAAATCAAAAGGGAAGGTAAAATATTTCAAAATAAATAATAAGGACAATATAACCTGAAAACCGGCGGGAAGTGGCTAACAGTGCGGGGGTGGAATATCCAGCAGTGTTCCTGTGAGAGAATTGGGGGTTGGGGAGATGGGGAGTTACTCCTGAAGGATATGCATTTCCTTTTTGGAGTGGTGAAAATATTCTGAGATTGATTATAGTGATGATTGCATAGCTGTGAGTATATTAAAAACTACTGAAATGTGGACTTTAAATGGGTGAATTTGTATGACTAATCATAATTATGTGAATTGTGTCTCATTAAACCTGTCAAAAAAAGAAAAAAAAATAGAATCTATGGCCTGAACATGTACACTAATCAATCATAAAATATAAGTGTAAATTTAAACCAAACAGGCCAGGTGCAGTGGTTCACGCCTGTTATCCCATCAGTTTGGGAGGCTGAGGTGATGGATCACAAGGTCAAGAGATTGAGATCATGGCCAACATGGTAAAACCCCCTCTCTACTAAAAATACAAAAAATAGCTGGGCGTGATGTCGTGCTTGGGAAGCTGAGGCAGGAGAATCGGTTGAACCTGGGAGGTGCAGGTTGCAGTGAGCTGAGATCATGCCACTGCATTCCCACCTGGTGACAGAGTAAGACTCCATCTCAAAAAAAAAAAAAAAAAGTTTAAGCCAAACATAAATTTTGGAAACATAAATGAAGGAAATAGAATACAAACAACAAAAAGAATTGAACAAATGGACTGTGGTGTGGTGGCTTATGCCTGTAATCCTGTAATTCCAGTACTTTGGGAGGCAGAACAGTTGAGCTCAGGAGTTAGAACAGTCTGAGCAACCTGGCGAAACCCCAGCTGTACAGAATATACAAATATTACATGGGCATTGGGACCCATGTAATTGGGCCACTTGGGGGACTGAGGTGGGAGGACCACTTGAGCCTGGGAGGCAGAAAAGGCAGAGATTGTAGTGAGCAGAGATTACCACACTGCACTCCAACCTGGATGACAGAGGGAGACCTTGTATCAAAGAAAGAAATAATAAAAAAAAGAATTGACAAAATGAAAAGTTGGTCTTCAGAAAGGGGGAAAAAAAAACCCCAACCTAATTAACACTTTGTTGGATGAGAGGGAGTAAGACTGTGAGAGCAGAGAAAGGAGACGCAGACATTGCCTGAACCTAGAGGGAGCCCAGCCCGAGAAGGAAGGATTTGGGAAACATGCCTTAGCTTCACTGTCAACAACTACTTGACAGGCCTTGATGTGGACCAACACTATGGTATGTCTTGCTTAGATCCAGGCAGTTGAACTGAGCCCAACATAAGTAGCTTTTATTGTAACCTTTTTGCTTTTGCTCAGAGGCAAAATTATATAAAATGTAATTAGATCTGTTTACAGTTAAATTAATTTTATACTTTAAAAGACTCCGAAGTTAGAAAAGTTACAAAAAGTATACAAAAAAACCATTTGAATAATAGCTGTTGACCTGATGAAGGCCATTATTGAATTGCTTAGTGTGTACTTTCTACAAACAAAGAAATTAACATCAATGCATTACCACTGTCTAATACGCAGACTGTGTTCCAATTTCTCTAGTTGTCTTCTAATTGTCATTTATAACACAGAGATCATGGCCAAAATCCCTGAATTTCATCTTTTTCTGTGACACTTTGATATTTAGTAGGAAGAGTTTGTCAAAGCCCTTTGTAAAGCAGAAATTAATGACTTAATGTTTGAGGCTATAGCCTGACTTTCTTCAGGGTTATATATAACTGTCATTTGTAAAAATGTATATGTTTATGTGTGTGTCTGTATGTGTGAGAGACAGAGACAGAATTCACCCACTGGTCAATTAAACACTTGGTCAAACTAAATATATTAGATGCTATTTCTGCTTGAGGGGCTCACATGTAGTTTATTGTTATTATTATTCTTATAAAATCTTTTCTTGCCAGCCACAGTGGTGCATGCCTGTTATCCAAGTTGCTTGGGAGACTGAGGCAGGAGGATCACTTGAGGCCAGAAGTTCCAGGCTGTAGTGGACTATGATCACACCTGTGAATAGCCGCTGCGTTCCAGCCTGGGCAACATGGCAAGACTCTATCAAAAGAAAAACAGAAATAACTCTTCTTGCTCACATTTTCTGGGGTAAAGGTATTTTATGTTATAATATGAGGAAAGGATACAGAGGTGTTTTTCTTTATAGAAAATAGCTGCCCTAACAGGCCAAGGGACAGACACACATACAAAAGAATGAAGGTTCGGAGCTGGAAAAAAGGTGTAAGTTCTGATGGCTTTTGTCACTTGGGATGAAGGGAATGTGAGATGGAGCCTGGGAGAGGTGAGGTCTGGAAGCTGCTCATGCCCATCTATGCTTTATCCCCACAGGTCCAAGTTGACTGTCCCAGCCTCTGGCAGGATCAAGCTCCCCAGCTGGCAGTGGCCGCACAGCAACAGAGGCACAGCCTCAAGGAGGAGTGTCCACCAGGTGTACTCTTATTTTTGAAAATCTGTTTATTTTATTTGACAGATAAACATTGTATATATTTATGGTATACACTATGATGTTTTGAACTATGTATGCATTGTGGAATGCCTAAATCCAGCTAATTTACATACTTACTGTGTATTTGTGGTAAGAACACTTAAAATCTGCTCTTAGCAATTTTCAACTGTACAGATCCAGAGCCCTGGGATAAGACCTGTTTGCCCTTCTCATCTGTGGGCTCTGCATCCGAGGCTGCAACAAACCACAGATCATAAATATGTGGGAGAAAACAATAAAAATGATAATCCGTCAATAAAAGTAGATAAAAGGCTACGCAGTATAGCACTTATTTACATAGCATGTCTATTGTATTAGGTATTACAAGTAATCTAGAGATGGTTTAAAGCATATGTGCCTGGCTTATATGCAGTACCATCCCAATTTATATCAGGGAGTTGAGTACGTGCAGAGTTTGTTCCATGGAATATATTCCCTGTGAGTAGAAGGAAGGAGTGTACAACACATTACTTTATTGACTGTAGTCACCATCCCCACAGACATCTCTTGAATTTCTCCCCATCTAACTGAAATTTTATATCCTTTGACCAACATCTCTTCAACTCACCATCCAACTCCAGCCCTGGTAATCACCATTTTACTCTCTACCTCTTTGAGATCAACTTTTTCAGATTCTACATGTGTGACATGGTGAGGTGTTTGTCTTTTGTGCCTGGCTTATTTCACTTAGCATAGTATCCTCCAGGTTCATCCATGCTGTCACAAATGACAGAATTTCCTTCTTTGTTAAGGCCAAATAGTATTCCATTGTGTCTGTGTACTCCATTTTCTATACTTTTTCAAACATCGATGGACACTTAGGTTGATTCCTTGTCTTGACCATTGTAAATAATGCTCCAGTGCACATGGGAGGGAAGATGTCTCTTCAACATACTGATGTCATTTCCTTTGGATGTACACCCAATAGTGGGATGACTAGATCATATAGTTGTTCTATTTTTCACTTTTTGAGGAACCTCCATCCTGTTTTCCATGATGGCTGCACTAATTTCCATTCCCACCGACAGTGTACCAGCGTTCCTTTTCCTCCCCATCATCATCATCAACACTTGTTATCTTTTGTCTTTTTGATAGTAGCCATTCTTACAGGTGTGAAGTGATATTTCTGGTTTTGACTTGCATTTCCCTGGTGATTAGTGATGTTGAGCATGTTTTTCATGTATCTGTTGGCTGCTTCTATGTCTCCTTTTGAGAAGGGTCTATTCAGGCTCCTTGCCCATGTGTCCATCTTAATTGGATTATTTGATTGCCTGCTGTTGAGATGTTTCAGTTCCTGTGTAGTTTGGATATTAACAAAAATCTTGGATCTTTTGGATATTGATCTCTCATTCTGTAGTTGTTTCTTCACTGTCTTCATTGTTTCCTTTGTTGTGCACAATCTGTTCAGTCTGATGTAATCTCATCTATTTCAGCTTTTGTTGCCTGTGGTTTGGGGTTCATAGCCAAGAAATCATTGCCCAGACCAACATCATGAAGGTTTTCCCCTATGTCTTCTAGTAGTTTTACAATTTCAGAGCTTATGTTTAATCTTTAGTCCATTTTGAGTTAATTTTTACATATGATGTGAGATAAGGGTCTTATTTCATTCTTCTGTATGTTAACTTCTACTTTTCTCTACATCATATATTGAAGAGACTGTTCTTTCCCATTTTGTGTCCTTGGTATCTTTGCTATAATCAGTAGACTGTAAATGCATTGATTTGCATCTGGGTTCACTATTTTCATTCCATCAGTTTATTTATCTTTGTTTATGCCATGACCATTCAGTTTTGATTACTATACCTTTGCAATATATTTTAAAATCAAGTAGTATAATGCCTTCATCTTTGTTCTTTTTGTTTGTTTTGCTTAAGACCACTTAGGCTATTTGAGGTCTTTTTCATTTCCATACAAATTTTAGAATTATTTTCTCTATTTTGGTGAAAAATGTCTTTGGAATTTTAATAGGCATTGCAATGAATTATAGATCATCTTGGGTAGTATGGATGATTAAACAACATTGAGTTTTCTAATCCATGAACATGTACTGTGCATTTATTTGTGTCACTTTCCATATCTTTCATCAATGTTTTACATTTTTTAAATCTTTCGCCAGTGTCATAAATTTATATAAGAGTTGCTGCCTTGACATCCATTTTTAGGCCCAATGTAAGTTGTTTAAAACCCAATCATACCACAGCATCTTTTGCCCAATTAATAATTCCTTTCCTTGTTTAATTGTTTTTTGATATAGCAATTTGTTCTTCACCTCCCTGACCCCAAACCCAACACATCCCACAGCAGCATAATGCATATATTGTTTTGCTTCACAGTAACCATCGGTACTGTTGGCTTTCTTCCCTCTTTTTCATTCTTTATTTTCTTTTTCTTCCTGAGTATGACTTGGTAATTTCAAATGATCTGTTTTCAAGCTCACTGATTTCTTTCTTCTGCTTAATCAGCTCCGCTGTTGATATTGTCTGTGGGATTTTTTAGTTCAGATATTCTGTTGTTGAATTTTAGAATTTCTGCTTGGTTCTTTAGCATGGTGTCTGTATGTACATGAAACTTCTCATTTTGCTCATGTATTGTTTTTCCGACTTCACGTAGTTGTCTGTCTGTATTGTCTAGTAGCTGACTGAGCTTCTTTAAGATGCGTATTTTTGATTCTTTGTCAGGCTTTTGTAAATCTCTATTAGTTTAGGGTAGTTACCTATGCTTTATTTTGTTTCTTTGGTGCTGTCATGGTTCCCTGATTGCTCAGCAGCCTGTGGCAATGTATTGGAATGTGTGCTTTGAAGCAGCAGGGATTTATTCCAGTCTTTACAGACTGGCTCTGTTAGGGAACGCCCTTCACCAGGCAGCCTGTTCACAGATTCTGGGCAGGCCATGTGGTGTGGTTCAAGGGTGGTCAGAGGCTGTATCCAGAGAGGCGACCTGAGGCCTGTGTCCATGTGTGCTGAACTGGCACTGGAGTGGGCCTTGAACTTAAGTTTGCAGATGTCAGCCAGGTGCTGTGATGGGTTCCATCCCTAGGTCCACAGGGAAGGGCCTGGAGCGTGAGTTCATGGGGACTGATGTGGCACTAGGGCAGACCTGGAAGCTGAGTCTGTGGAGGTGGGCCAGGATCCTGGGTTTGTAGCGCTAGCCGGAAGGCACAATCTAAGACTGATAGCTCACGCTGATCATGCCCTTATCTCTATGTCCCTCCAGACTTCTGTTTCCTGCACTTTCTGTTTCTTTATTCCATAGGGATAGGTTGGATGATTTCTGTGAGTCAGGCACCATACTAATCGGGATTATAAAAGGCCCTGCCCTCGGCTAGGTGCTATGGCTCCTGCCTGTAATCCAGCACTTTGGGAGGCTGAGGTGGGCTGACCATGAGGTCAAGAGATCAAGATGATCCTAGATAACACGGTGAAACTCTGTCTCTACTAAAAATACAAAATATTAGCTGGGTGTGGTGGCATGTGCCTGTAGTCCCAGCTACTTGGGAAGCGGAGGCAGGACAATTGCTTTAACCCGGGAGGCAGAGGTTGCAGTGAGCTGAGATTGCACCACTGCACTCCAGCCTGGGTGACAGAGCCAGACTTTGTCTCAAACAACAATAACAACAACAACAAAAATAAAACGAGGCCCTGCCCTTATGGAACCTTTTTTTCTGGGGTAGTATTGATACACAGATTAAATAACAATCAGAAATTCCTGATAGGAACCATGAATAATAATTAAGTGATGGGTGAGACAGGTTGGTGGGGCCTCTCAGGGATGGTGATTTTAGCCAACATCCAAAGTTGAACAGGGCTAGCATTGCAGAGAGCCAGAAACAGTGCTCCTGAGCAGCCTCCTCAGGAATGAGAGGCCCAGGGTCCAGGGGCTGGGGGATACTGAGCAAAGACAGGGCCTCTGTAGTGAGTGGACAGCAGACAGGTCAGGTGGGCAGCGTGGGCAGATCACATGTAGAAGAGGTTGGATTTTATTTTGTTGTTTTATTTATTAAAAAAAAAAATAGACTGGGGGTGGCATGGTGGCTCATGCCTGTAATCCCAGCACTTTGGGAAGCCAAGGTTCGTGGCTCACCTGAGGTCAGGAGTTCGAGACCACCCTGGTCAGTATGGTGAAACACTGTCTGTAGTAAAAATACAAAAAGTTAGGCAGGCGTAGTGGTGGGTGCCTATAATCTCAGCTACTTGGGAGGCTGAGGCAGGAAAATCGCTTGAACCTGAGAGGCAGAGGTTGCAGTGAGCCGAGATTGTGCCACTGTACTCCAGCCTCAGCAACAAGAATGAAACTTCATCTTTAAAAAAAGTAAAATACTTCAAAGATTTATATTGATTACATATTGAAGGGTAGTGTTTTAGATATTTTAGGTTCAGAATAGATTGTTAAAATTAACTTGACCTCATTCTTTTTACTATTTTAATATGGTTCTCATGGAATTTGAATTTCTTATGTGGTTTGTGTTATATTTCTTTCAGCAATGCCACTCAAAGGTATGTAATAGATGCAGAATTAATGAGAAGACCAAGCCTGGAAGAGTAGATTTCCTTGTCTGGATTCCACTGAGGGCAAAAAGAGGAGTTTCCCAGCCACTGTCAGCCTCTGGGAATTCTGTGAGATTTATACTGATTACATATTGAAAAACAGTGTTGTGGATATTCATTGGCTTTCCTCTCCCTTCCCAGGATCTCGTAGATCAGAACATACTGGAGCCTGTATCAGGTGCACAGAGGGTGTGGATTATACCAATGTCTCCAACAATTTGCCTGCCTGCCTCCTATGTACAGTTTGTAAATCAGGTACAGAATGTGTGGACCCCTTGCCCAGAGGTGGCGTGCGGAGTGATGAGGCGGGAGTTGCAGCCAATGTGGGTCAGGGAACGAAGTTCCAGCCCAGCTTGGTGTTTATCATACCCTGTTCCATGATTGTGACTTTGGATGATTAAAAAAAAATAGAAATCCTTTTTTATAATACATGCCACTGGGCTGGGAAATCTTCTAAACTACTGGCTGCAAGGGGGTGGGGGCATGATTACAGCACAGAGAACTCCTGGCTGAGTGGACAGGACTGGGTTTTAGTGTTGGCATGGATCTTCTCCAGGACCAGGCTCTCTCCCCGGGCTCTGTGCTCCTGGCAGGTACTCGGCCTCACTCAGCCTTCAGGTTCTCAGGCCCCTCCCTCTTCCCCAGGAAGGCCAGGCTTTTCGGAAGTCACCCAAGGGCTTCTCTCCTTGCAGAGCCTCTCCAGTGATGCCCTGCGCTTCCCTTGCTACTGACCATGTGATCCAAACGGTGCTTTTCCCCTAATCTGATGTAATAATTAATGAATCATGGTCCTTTTGTATGACCCTGAGTATTGGTAACAGCTGAAGGCTGGGTGTCCTGTACGAGCCCCGAGTGTGCTGGTGTAGAACCGGCCCTCAGAACTCCTTGGCAAACTGAGTTGAGCAGAGTGGGAGGGGTTGGGGTGGTGAGGAAGGGTCAAGGGACATGTCAGGGAAACTCATTGCCAAAACCTTGTGCTCTGGCATCAGATGAAGAAGAGCTAAGTCCCTGCACCACGACCAGAGACAGAGTGTCGGTGCAAGCCAGGAACTTTCCGGAATGACAATTCCACTGAGATGTGCTGGAAGTGCCACATAAGGTGACACAGCAGTCAGGGGGCCCCCGACAACTTTCAGGAACCTGAGAAGACCCGAGTCACCTGGTACCTCTTTCTCTCCCCTGACCCAATGGAGCCTCCAGCCCCATGAGGCATCCCTGAGCCTGTGGGGTCTCCTGAGCCTGTGGTGGCCCCTCCTGGTCCATCTGCCTGTCCCCACCCCTGCCCCCTGCAGCAGCCCCTTCCCACTCCTCCCCAGCACGAGTCCCTTTGGTCAGGCTGAAGTGTTCACTGGGCACAAGAGGCAAATTTCCAGGTCCCTTGATACTTTTCAGGGGACCTAGGAAATGTGATTTCCTTTTGAAATCAGAAGAAGACACTTAAATCCAGCTTGGTTTGTATTTGTCCTTATTCCAAGTTGGTTTAAAAGAATGTAATTTTTAGTATTTTCTATGCAGACAGGGACCCATAAAGACAAAAGTGCCCCCAGCCCACGAGAGTCATAGTAAGGCCATGGGTGGAGCTCTATTAAGGTCCCATGAGGAGCTGAGCCCACCCAGCCGGCCTTGCCCCTGGCCTCTGATTTCTCAGTAAGTCCTTCTTTTTCCTATTCGTTTTAAGGGCTAAGAGTAATTTGCTCTTCTCTGGCCCTCCAGTGTTTGCTGTGACTGGGAGGAACCAGCAGACAGGGAGGGGCAAGGGCTCACTTGTATTGTGGGTTAACTGGAGGATGGGGCCCAGTTGGTGGCTACATGGGCTTGTGATTTTCCCCTGGAGTGCGGCTCCTCCTAACGCAGGCCTCCCCTGCAGCCCAGGGAAGCTCAGTGTGTGCCCAGCACAGATGCCTCCTGGAGCTGCAGCTCTGACCCCAGAGCAGGGAGGCCGAGGGGCTGAAGTGCGCATGCTCAGACCCTTCCCCAGCCTCAACCAGGCAGCATGGAGGGGCCCTGCAGACACGAGGAGCCTGTCCTTCTCCTCATGCCTTCTCAGGGACATTGGGCAGGAGGGTGACTCCTCTTTCATCCCACCTGGCCAGCTTCCCCTCAAGAGTCCCCTCTCCCTCCCTGTGTGTACCCAGGTGCCCCAGAGGGATGGTCAAGGTCAGGGATTGTACATTGCTGGAGCGACATCAAGTGCCTTGACGAATCAGCTGCCAGTTCCACTGGGAAAACCCCAGCTGCGGAGGAGACAGTGACCACCAGCCCGGGGACTCCTGCCTCTGTGTCTTACATCCTACAGATTGTCACAGGGGTCATATTGTTTGTGGCTGTGGTTGTGTTTGTTTACATGATTTTTTTTTTTTTTTTTTTGAGATGGAGTTTCGCTCTTGTTACCCAGGCTGGAGTGCAACAGCGCGATCTCGGCTCACCGCAACCTCCGCCTCCTGGGTTCAGGCAATTCTCCTGCCTCAGCCTCCTGAGTAGCTGGGATTACAGGCACGTGCCACCATGCCCAGCTAATTTTTTGTATTTTTAGTAGAGACGGGGTTTCACCATGTTGACCAGGATGGTCTTGATCTCTTGACCTTGTGATCCACCCGCCTCGGCCTCCCAAAGTGCTGGGATTACAGGCGTGAGCCACCGCGCCCGGCTGTTTACATGATTTTATTTTGGAAGAAACTCACTTCTTTCCCGAAACTCATCTGCTCAGGTAGGTGCTGGCTGAGGGCGGAGCACTGGGCACTCTCTGCCCTGCCCTCTCCCACTTGGTTCCCAGAGACAGAAATGCCTGTCCCTGCCCCTAGTCTAAGTGTCTCCAGCCTGGCTCCATCTTCCTCCTTGTGATCACCCCATCCCCACATCCTTTACACCCCCCAGGACCCTGGTCTCACCAGTCCTCTCCCAGGGCTGGGGGTCTCCTCATCTCCCAGCCAAGTCCAGGAGGGCAGGGCCAGTTTCTCCCATGTTCAGGCCCAGCCAGGCAGGGGGCAGTCAGCTTATCAACTAGGTGACAAGGGTCAGAATGAGAAGTGGTCAGGGATTTTATTCAGCCTTCATCAGAGCAGAAAACAGATTTTCCACGTTTGTTTTTACAGTAATTCCCCTTCTATTCCACTACCTCAGGGTGTCCCTGAATTGCAAGGTCCTATTCCTGCCCCAGGCCCAGGGCTCCTTGTCCAGTGTCCAGCCCCCAGCCTGCCCCTACCCCCCACTGTCCTCTGGGAGGGTGGTACTGCATGGCCCCTCCCCACCTGCTAAGGATACTCCTTCTCTTCCAGGTGGTGGAGGGAACCCCGAATGTGTTCAGAGTAAGTTGGTTTCTCCAGAAACTGGGGGATCAGGGGTTCAGGAACAGCTTCCCATCCACTGCAGAGCCCGGGTGGGCACAATTCCTTGTCCTCATGTTGGCTCTGACTCTCTGACATGGCCTGGGGGGTTCTGGGCTGACTGTGGGGGACACATGGTCATTCTGAGAACCACAAAGACCTATGGGCCATGCTGCAGCCCTGTCCTTCCTGCAGCCTGAGTGACACCCTCACCCACAGCCTGCACCCTGGGGACGGGGTGACCACTTGCCCTGCCTCAGCAGTAGGTCCTGAATATGCTGAATCACAGCTGCCTTGGGTGACCTCATTGGAAGGGGTTGGGGATGGAAGGTCTAGCTGTGTACTGGGGACTCTGAACCTGAACCCTGGGTGTGAACTTAAGTGGGTGGTTTTCCTCCTAAGGTCTTTTCCTGGTGTTTATGTCCCTCATGAGGTCCTGGGGCTGAGGACAATGCCCACAACGAGACCCTGAGTTATAGAGACTCACAGCCCACCCACGTCCCTGAGCCGGAAATCAAAGATCAGGAGCTTACAGAGCCAATGGGTGTGACTGTACAGTCACCAGAGGAGCCACAGCATCTGCTGGTGAGTTGAGGATGGACTGTGTCATGCCTGGCCTGCTGCCCGCACAGGGCTTTGTAGGCAGTGGGAGAGGGCAGTGCCTCTGCTCTCCTGGCCCAGGTAGTGGGCATAGTGCTAGTAGTGTCCAGTGTCTGTTATTGCCGTCTTTATGTTCATGAGTACCTGATGCTCAGCTCCCTCTTATAAGTGACAACATGCAGTATTTGGTTTTGCATTCCTACATTAATTCGCTTGGGATGATGACCTCCAGCTCCATCCATTTGGCTGCAAACATGATTTTACTCTTTTTTATGGCTGTGCAGTATTCCATGGTGTATATATGCCACATTTTCTTTATCCAGTACACTGCTGATGGGAACCTAGGTTGAATCCATGTCGTTGCTATGATAGGTAGTGGTGTCTTTGGTAGAATGATTTGTTTTGTTTTCTGTATATGTTGGGTTTGCTGGGTTAAACAGTAGTTGCTTGAAAATTCTTTGAGAAATCTCCAAACTCCTTTCCACAGTGGCTGAACTAATTTACATTCCCACCAGAAGTATAAAAATGTACCTTTTTCTTCATAGCCTCGCCAACATTTGTTGTTACTGGCTTTTTAATAATCGCCATCCTGATTATGTGAGATGGAATCTCATTGTAGTTTTGATTTGCATTTCTCTGATAATTCATGATGATGAGCATCTTTTCATGTCTGTTGACAACTTGTATGGCTTCTTTTAAAGACATACAAATTATGTCTTTTGCCCATTTTTAATTGGGTTGCTTTTTGTGTGTTTAATTAAGTTGCATATAATTCCTGAATATTAGACCCTTGTCAGATGCATCATTTGCAAATGCTTTCTCCCATTCTGTAGGTTGTCTGTTTATTCTGTTGATATTTTCTTCCTTTCTTTTCTTTCTTTCTCTTTCTTTCTTCTCTCTCTCTCTCTTTCTTTTTTCTTTCTTTTTTGAGACGGAGTCTCTCTCTGTCACCAAGCTGAAGTGCAGTGGCGTAATCTTGGCTTACTGAAACTACTGTTTCCTGGGTTCAAGTGATTCTCCTGCTTCAGCCTCCCGAGTAGATAGGACTACATGCACGCCACCATGCCCAGCTAAGTTTTGTATTTTTAGTAGAGATGAAGTTTCACCATGTTGGCCAGGATGATCTCAATCCCTTGACCTTGTGATCTGCCCACCTTGGCCTCCCAAAGTGTTGGGATTAGAATTGCGAGCCACTGCACCTGACTCTTTGTTTTTTTTTTTTTTCATTTTTATTTTTTTGATGCAGGGTCTTCCTTGTAACACAGGCTGGGGTGTAGTGGCATGATCTCGGCTCACTGCAGCTTCTACCTCCCAGGTTCAAGTGATTCTCCTGCCTCAGCCTCCGTGGAAGTTGGGATTGCAGGCATGCACCACCATGCCCGGCTAATTTTTGTACTTTTAGTGAGTTGGGCCATGCTGGTCTTGAACTCCTGACCTCAGGTGATTTGCCTGCCTTGGCCTCCCAAAGTGCTGGCATTATAGGTGTGAGCCACCGCGTCCAGCCTGTTAATAGTTGATTTTTGGTGATAGTTTCTTTTGCTGTGCAGAAGGTCTTTAGTTTAATTAAATCCCACTTGACAATTTTTGTTTTTGGTACATTGCTTTTGAGGACTTAATCATAAATTCTTTGCCATGGCTGATGTCCAGAAGGGTGTTTTCTAGGTTTTCTGCTAGGATTCTTATAGTTCGTGGTCTTACTTTTTAAACCTTTAATCCACCTTGAGTTAATTTGTGTATATGGTGAAAAGTAGGAGTGTAGTTTTCATTCTTCTGCATATGGCTAGACAAATATCCCAGCATTATCTGGTGAATAGGGAGTTGTACTAGTCCATTTTCATACTGCTATGAAGAAATATCCAAGACTGGGTAATTTATAAAGAAAAAGAGGTTTAATGGACTCAGTTTTACATGGCTGGGAAGCCTCACAATTGTAGAGGGAAGGATGAGCAAAAGCACATCTTACATGGCGGCAGGCAAGAGAGCATGTGCAGGGAACTGCTCTGTATAAAACCATCAGATCTTGTGAGTCATATTCACTATCACAAGAACAGGACAGGAAGAACTCATCCATATGATTCAATTACTTCCCACATTTTTTCAATTCACTTTCAAATTAAAAATTAATCTAGAGGCTGGGTGCAGTGGCTCATGCCTTTAATCCCAGCACTTTGGGATGTCCAGGCAGGTGGATCATGAGGTCAGGAGATCAAGACCATCCTGGCTAACTGGGTGAAACCCCGTCTCTATAAAAATACAAAAAATTAGACGGGCATGGTGGCACATGACTGTAGGCCCAGCTACTCTGGAGGCTGACACAGGAGAATCTCAGGAGCCTAGGAGGTGGAGGTTACAGTGAGCTGAGGTCACGCCACTGCACTCCAGCCTGGGCGACAGAGTGAGACTCCATCTCAAAAAATAATAATAATAACATAAATATTCTGTATTCCCTTATCAAAGAAGATAGAATTGGTAGTCAAGCATTTTGTTGTAACTGGTTTGTGATTCATGTTACTCTTCAAATAAGTTATTCCTGTTTCTTCTCATGGCTGTTGGGTATTTTGTATCCATTATGAGTTGGAAAACCCTGTCATTCTGTTAGAAACTTACTGCATCTGTTATGTTTTTTATATTTCGATATTATAGTTTCATTATTAGCGATTTTAAATGACATTGAAAAAAATGATTAGTGTGTCTGCCCCCTTCCAAGAGTCTTGCCTCATTTTTGTTTCCCATCTTGTTGCCTAGACCACACCTTTCGGAACAATGTTCAGCTGTGCTTAGGAAGGCAGCTGTTTGGGTCCTGATTTGATTTCTGGGGAAGGCCTCCAACATGTCACCCTTAGGAATGGTGTTCACTTTTGGTTTCATATAGAAATTCTCCTCCTCAGGAATGCAGCCTCCTGTTCTAAAATGTTTAGAAAAAAATCAGAATTGGTGTGTAATTTTACCAAATGTCTTTCCAGCCTCCATAGAGATTGATGTTTTATTTAATTACCCTATTGATATGGTACAGGCTTAATGATCCAAGATCATTTACAGTCTTGGAATGAATCATTTTGTTAGGTTTTCCTGGGTGCCCTCATATATAGTCTTCTGCTGAGACTTCTGCTGGTAAAAATTCTGTAAGGAAGTGATCATCTCCTGTGAAGGTGGGTGGGAGTTGATTAGATGGGGCAGAAGGGGACTTTCTGGGGTGGTGGGAATGTTCTATGTCTTGATCAGGGGATGATTACCCCAGTGTATACAGTAGTCAGAGCTGGGCAGAACACTTACACAGTGAGCATTTACTGCATGTCACTTATGTCTCAATGAGCCACCATCACATAGAGCCTGAGAGCTACGCAGAACTAGAGGGTTATCTCCATCTCCATGGAGACCTGAGAGGGGAAGTGCTGCAGGTGTCAGGGCTGGCTGGTCGGGGTCAGTACTGGACTGCAGGACTCCTGACTGATCACAGCCTTCCCCACTGCGTGTTACAGGGACAGTCAGAAGCCGAAGGGTGTCAGAGGAGGAGGCTGCAGGTTCTAGTGAATGACGCTGACCCCACTGAGAGTAAGTGTGCTGTGCCTGGAGACACAGCAGGAGGGCAGGGAATAGGGACAATCCTACCCGCTATCCCCATAGCTGAGAGCTCTTTTGGAGCACTCACTGCCGCAAGCGCAGGGTCCTATGCCAATCCTGGGCTGATTGTCCCTGGAGCATCAGGACCCTCAGTCTCTTCTTCCCTCTTCTCAGTCAACACCTTGCTGGATGCCTCGGTGACACTGGAAGAAGGACACGTGAGGGAAACAATTCAGGACCAACTGGTGGGCGCCGAAAAGCCTCTCTATGAAGAAGGTGATGCAGGCCCTCTACGTCCTGCCTGTGAAACAATCTCTTCAGGAAACTACAGCTTCTCTGGTTTACCTTTTCTCTTACAAAGGGAGGAAGCCTGGAAGAGACAGTCCAGTGCTTGACCCACGCCTCAGCAAACTCTACTGTCCAGTATGGTGCAGCTTACCTGAGGTCTTACCACTTTGTCAATGCACTTGGAGTAATTTTTATAAAATATTGTGTGTGATAAGCAAACTGCAGGAATTTATATAACATTCTTTGGGGCACTGAGTTATACGATTGTGTATTAAGGGCATTTTAGGCCAGGTGCATTGACTCACACATGTAAACCTATACCTTTGGGAGGCTGAGGCATGTGAATTACTTGAGCTCAGGAGTTTGAGACTAGTCTGGGCAACATGGTGAAACTCCATCTCAAAAAGAAATAAAGTGGTTTTAAGATGTCATTAATTTCAGTTCTTCATCATGAGACTAGTCTTTTTTCCTATTTCTTGTATTGTGAGCTCCATCCCTGCTGGTGTGTGCATTAATTCTATCTAACTACAGATGACGCACAGCCACGATGGTTTGCCTTACAACTTTTTAACTTTAGAACTGGGTGATCTGGCTATTACCTGCATTTTCAGTTTAGGATATTTTTGACTTAATGATGAGCTTATCAAGACAAAGCCCCATGCTAAGTCATGAGCATATGGACTTAAGAGGATTTGACTTCGAGTTTTGAGCTTTAAGATAGGATTATTGGGACTTACCTCCCTGAAGTAGAGAAACATTTGTACTGCTTAGTATTTATATCATGTACATGTTTCATTTTCTGATTTTTTATATAATGATGTAAGCATGGAAAAACTCTAAGAAATGCACTTATTAGGCTGTTTACCTGGGTTGCCTGGATGCAAACCAGCAGTCACAAATGACTGGAAATATAAGTAGCGACAGAGGGAGAAATCCTCCTTCTGTGGGAGGCAGTGCCTGTGTTCCAGGTCTCCTCCCACGCCCTGTGACTGGACCAGGGTTTGATGGCTGGCAGCTTCTCAAGGGGCCAGCCTGTCTTACTTGATAATTTTAGAGGTGTATAGTGGTATTTATTTATAAATATTTTAAAACATGTATTTATTTATAAGTAGATGTTTACATATGCCCAGGATTTTGGAGAGGGTGGGATCTATGGGAAGCCATGTGTCTGGTCAGTCCTGCTGGGACAGGCATGAGACTGCATCTTCCTGCTTGTCCACAGCAGATAAGGACAGTGAGATCTGAGACTGTGAACAGCTTTTCTGTCAAGTGCCCTTACAGCTGCACATGAGTGAATCTTGGGCGTCCTTTGGGCTCAGGGCAGAGCGGGTGTTCATCTGCCCCAGCATCTTTCATGGCATCAAGGGGGAAGAGTGGATGGTGTTTGGGAATGGTGTGAAATGGTTGCTGACTCAGGAGTGGACGGCCTCTCTCGCTTCTGATGCTCTGTGACCCTGAGCCCCTGGGCAGCATTTTAGGGTACGGATTCCCTGTTTGAGGTGCTTGGCCCCTCTGTAACCATCTGACTCAACTCAGAAATAGCAATTCTTAAACATTGTGACAACGGGACCTAGAATGGCTGACGCGTTAATGCTTTGTTCTTGTGTCCATTCTACTCTTTTACCTAAAAGCCTCAGTAATCATTTTAGCCTCTTTCCAGCAAACTCTTCTCCACAGTAGTACAGTCGTGGTAGGATAATTTACAGTTATAGTCATTTTAGGAGTTTCCATGTTTTCTGTCTCAAGGCATTGCGTGCTCTCTTGTTCCGGGACTGGTTTGGCTGGGACAGTTAGAATTCCCTGAAGATTCTGGCACATTCAGAGTGTTGTGTTCGTGGAGTTTTGGGAGGGGGAGGGGGTGGTCCTTCTGGTCTTGGCACTTCTGTCCTCTCCCACTTCCATCTGGTGTCCCACGTGTTGTCCCCTGCACTTCTGGAAGGCACAGGGTACTGCTGCCTCCTGGTCTTTGCCTTTCCTAGGCCTTCGGTGCAGTACGCTCGGCCTCAGAGCCCAGAGGGAGCCAGTCTGGTCCCAGCTCCCTTGTCCCTTGTGCAGAGGCCTTTCTTGAAGATGCATTTAGAATATCAGCCTTATCAGTGTTGGTTAAGCTTATTTTTGTAAAGTAAGCTTCTTGACAACATGAAATTGTTGGGAGTTTTTAGTGTTAGTTTGTTTTGGTTTTCCTTTATACCCAGGCCAAATAGCACATAACGCCTGGTTATATATGCAAAGCTCATATGTTCATAAATTTTGTCCAAAATAAACATGAAACCTTATATAAAAAGAGGTGCGGCGTTTGTTTATTTCCATCCTTCCCTCCTCCTGTGAAACAGCTTTGAGTGACAGGAGGCCAGGGCTTCATTCCTGCTGGGACTCCTTACTTGTCCCCCTGTCTGCCTTCAGGCTTGGCCTGCCTGGTGGAGGGTGGGTTGGGGGAGGTTCCCGCATGTAGGAAGAACAGCTGAGTCCTGCAGGGAAACGCCAGATCCTGTCTGCACAGACCACGTGGGTGGGAAGCAAGGAGTCAGAGTCGCTTCCACAAAATGAATCACCTGTCTTTGGTAGAGCACACAGGCCCCAGGGCCCCATGGACAGGGCTGGTCCCAGGGTCTGCACGCCACTTCCTGGGCTTGGGGAGGTGGTACACCAGAGGCTGCCCGCAGCAGAAAGCCCACGCAGAGGCTAAGGCCTCTTGTTCCACTTGGCAGAGACCCCACAAGGCGCCAGAGGGCAGCATCAGAGCCTGGGGCCCCGGCAGGGGTGCCCAAGGACACAGCAGCTGCAGGCCATTGGCAAGGCCAGAAGATGGTGAGTGTAAAGTCCAGCGCACATGGAGAGACCCTGAGAAGGGGCTGTTCAGCTGGGAGTCCTGCATTTGCCGTTTGTGTTCCATCCGGCGATTTTGAAACCAGGTTTTTATCTGGACCTCTGAGAGCGGCATCTCCCTGGCCAGCCTCTTCCGGTCCAGAAGGCCCCGGTACCGGTGGTGCCGGAAGTCGCGTTCCAGGGCGCTGATGTGCTTCGTGGGGAAGGAAGCCACAGTCCTCTCCGGAGCAGGCAGATTTGAGGACCTAGTTTCCTCGGTGCTGACGGCCTGAGGGGCTCCTGGGTGCCGGATATCTGGCCCCGGACAAGGAGGCTCCCGGGGAGACACCGGTAGGCCTGGGGGTGTGGGTCGGCCCTGGGCAGCTGCTTTGGGAGAGCGAGTCCACTGAGCCAAAGCTGGAGGACTGCTGCAGGCCACGAGGCTTGGAGAAGGAGAGACGCATCGCGGTCAGGTAGGCCAGAGGGAAGGCTGCGCGGGGCTGGTCAGGCGCGTGATCCATCACCATATATTGTTTTTAAAAGACAATGCTATTGCAAACTTAACAGACTACAGTATAGGATACCCATAACTTTTTGTTTTACACGTTGTTTTCGTTTTGTTTTGAGTCTGAGATGGGTGCTTGTTCTGTTGCTCAGGCCGGATGATAATGGTGCAATCTTGGCTCCCTGCAACCTCTGCCTCCAGGGCTCAAACGATCCTCCTGCCTCAGCTTTTTAAGAAGTTGGGACCACAGGTCCACAAGCCACCATGCCCTGCTAACTTTTGTGTGTTGTGTAGAAACGGGTGTTGTCATGTTGTCCAAGCCGATCTGGAACTCCTGAGCTCCAGTGATTCCCCTGCCTCGGCCTCCCAAAGTGCTGGGACTACAGGCATGAGCCATTGTGCCCAGCCTTGTACCCATTACATTTATATGCACTGGAAAACAAACAAAAAAATTGTGTGACTCACTTTATTGTGGTGGTCTGGAAGCTAACCTGCAGTATCTTTAAGGTATGTCTATGTTTTCAATATTAGATCCTCATCTGATGTACAGTTCCAAAATATTTTCTCCCATTCTGTAAGTTATCTGTTCACTCTGTTGATTGTTTCCTTTATTTTTCATAAGCATTTTAGTTTGATGTAATCCTATTTGTCTGTCTGTGCTTTTGGGGTTATATCCAAAATATCTTTGCCCTCCCTGGGCCACTTCTGCCATCCAGAACAGAGGCGGGGAGATGGGGCCCCACACTACACAGTTAGAATAACAGCTCTTCCTTTCTAGAACCCTCCACCAAACTTCCCACTACAGTTGTTTGTTTTGAGTTGGAGTCTTGCTGTGTTGCCAGGCTGGAGGGCAGTGGTATATCTTGACTCACTGCAACCTCCGACTCCTAGATTCAAGCGATTCTCCAGCCTCAGCCTCCTGAGTACAGGTGTGCACTGTAAGGTTTATTCTCTGTGAGGTCTGTTGCCGATTTTAAAATGAGGAAACTGAGGCCTGCGTGAGAACAATTGGACGCCAATTTATTTGGCTCCCAGGCGAGGTTCTGTGGTCCCGGGTAAAGAGGCCAGGGAAGTCAGCCTGACTCCTCTAAGGCTTGGGGTTATATAGGGAGGGAAGGTGCTCTGATTGGCTGTGGAGAAACAGGATGTGGTCGTGGCAAGCTGCTATAAGTAGGTAGGAGGGATTTCCGGTGAGTGGGCTGGACGGGGCAATATGCTATTGGGCAGGTCTTGGCCGGGCTGCTTTTAAATTTTGGTGGGGTTTTCCAACAGCTGGCTAGGTGCCGAGTGCAGAGTTTAGTGTCGAGTGCACATCCTGGTGCTGAGTGCAGAGGGGATTTCCAAAGGGGGGGCCAGGTGCCGGGTGCAGAGTTTAGTGTTGAGTGCAGAGGTGGGTGTGGGGAAGCTAGATGCTGAGTGCAGATTCTGGTGACTTAATTTCAGGTGTGGAGAGGGATGGGCATGTCCGAGCTCCCACGAGGCAACCTGCCTTACATGCATCACCACACCCAGCTAATTTTTGTATTTTTAGTAGAGACAGGGTTTCTCCATGTTGGCCAAGATGGCCTTGATCTCTTGACCTTGTGATCTGCCTGCCTCCGCCTCCCAAAGTGCTGGAATTATGGCGTGAGCCACTGCACCTGGCTACCCTACTACAGTCTTTGCTACGCACATTTTTTAGTTCTCAGCTCACCCCGGCATTGAGGAAATCTGTACAACAGTTAAAGAGGGATGGAGAATTCCAGGGACAAAAATGAAATATTATTCAAGATCTATTGTAAAATTTAAAAATCAAGAACTTAAAAAACTGTGAAGACTGTGAGTCCATTCATTTTTGTATATTATTTTTATTTTTGTTATTTGAGACAGGGTCTTGCTGTGTCACCCAGGCTGGAGTGCAGTGGCATGA